AATCAGTCTTACTTTCAATGGTCCACCCTTGTAAAATATAGAGAAGCAAAAAGCTCTACAGTATAGTGAATTTTCTGCATGTACAGTATACTGTATATACCTCCTCTGTCACAGATCACACATACTGCTGTACAGTCCATCTCTGAAGGAATGAGTGAGTGAGTGAGTGAATGAATGAATGAACATCAGCAGTGTCCTGACTTCAGTTTTGAAGCGCGCATTGAGTAGGACCAAGTGGTGCCGGCGACCTTTGCCACCGCCCCCAAGGGACGCCCAAAACGTCATGAAGCTCATCATTGATTGCGACGCCGGGGTCGATGACGCCATGGCCCTCATCATGGCCCTGGACTATGTGAGGAAAGGGAAGGCCCAAGTCCTGGCCGTCACTTGCGTCCAGGGCAACACTGGGCTGGACAACGTGGTGGTCAACGTGCTGAGGACCATGAACGCCATGGATATCCAGGTTATAATTGTCAAAAAAAAAAAAAGATGCAGCATGGTTTTTTAAAATTCCTTGTTTTGGTTCTCAGTCTTTTAAAATTTAAAACCTATATTTGGTGCCTGGCCCTATATTATACAGTACTTGAATAAGCTGGTGTGGTGAATTCTTGAATTGTACTGGAAACCCCTCCAATAATTGACTCTCTGAAACCTGCTGCATGACAAATTGAATACAGAGGGAAATCTTGTTTGGTTAGAATAAGCTTTCTTATAATATATGTACCTGGTTTTTGTTATGTACTGTAAATGGCTTTTCTTGTAACGTAAAGTTCATTATTTGAATAACATTGTGGCTATTGGGTATAGGGATTGTAGAAAATAATCCATTTTTAGCAGCATTGACTTTGTTGTAATGAGATTTTTGTAGCACAACTCCATTGTCTATATTATGTATCAGTAGGANGTAGCACAACTCCATTGTCTATATTATGTATCAGTAGGAGGAGCTAACATTGTTTTCATGGTAACAAGTATACTATATTTACTCAAGTACCAGGCGCACCTTTTTCCCCAAATTTCAGAAGAAAAAAAAAGGGGGTGCGCATCATAATAAGAGTGTACAAAATTTTCAAGAAGTTTTAGGAAGTGATGTGTGCATCATACTTAATTATAATGGAGATATTTGGAACAAATATAAGAAGAAAACATGTTTGTACTGAAAAAGTTGAAAATTGATTGGACTTTTGTTCAAGTCATGCCTGAAGTCAAATTTTTTGTTTTTATTTTTGAAATTTTATTGGTTTTAGATTCACTAAAAATTGGGGTTTGCGTCTTACTCGGGGATAAGATTTTTGCAAAATTTTCAACTGAAAAACCCCTGTGCGCGCCTTACTCAAGGGTGCGTGATGCTCAAGTAAATACAGTACATATATAGACATCAATTTAAGACATAATATGTGAATTTATACTTTTTCAATTATTTCCAAATGTATCCAATTATTGTTGGCTTGCTGCAAAGTTGAGCAGTTGAGAGAAATGAAGCTTGTTTTTTTTTGTTTCATTAAGAAGAAAGACATTTTTCTGGTATGTGTATGGTTATTTTCAGATTTCATCTCATGAACTGAGTTGCACCACAGAGGAAATTTCAACAGCCGAATCTTGAAGCATATCTATATTTATGTTTATCCCTTGGGTTTTGCAGGTTCCAGTTTACAGAGGTGCCAAAGATCCTCTGATTGGCCCCTACATCAGACATGGTCCCCCCTTCCATGGTGAAGATGGACTAGGTGATGCACACTTTGACACCACTCCAGACCTCAGTGTGGTGTCCAGTGAACATGCCTCACTGGCCATTGCAAGACTTGTGAGGGACAATCCTGGTGAGGACTTGTACAGTATACACCAGCAGTGCAGCTTGTTTCACACAAATGCTATGATCTTCTTTATAAATCAATCAATCCATTCATTATCAATGGTTGTCAAGAGCTATATAATGGATGAAACATTTCACTATCTAGTCATTAAGGTGCCATAGTTGATTCCCTGGAATGTCTCTCCTTTACATTCAATAGCATTGGATAGAATAAGCCCATTTTAAAGAGAACTTCTTCATGTCTTGCAAATTATAATTCAAGGCAGGAGGACATCAATATTTGAAGAGTATGGATGAGTCACATGGTATAAGTTCTTCCTATCCTCAAAGACACTATACAGGTATACTTATCTTGAATGCTTGATTTTTATTTATTTATTTATTCTTTCTCGCATTTTGCTGACTTCAATCAATGCCAGCAGTTGCCTTAATTGATGTCCTATACTGCTTTTGTTCCATTTGTTTTTCACCCATATGGAGGAGGAGGAGAAAAAGAAAGGTCAGATTTTGACACCATTTACTTTTGGGTGATGCGCGGTCAAGAGTGCGAATGTTTCCCATCAGCATGTCTTCATTGCCCAGCAGTGAGGAATTTAAAGAGGAGATCAAAATGAACTTGTGTCAAAAACTTTATTTTTTTATCAAGCTCACTATAATCCTATACACAGTACAGTACAGTGCATGATTGATGGGAATAATACAGCATTATTGTACTGCGTATGGTTTCTTATTGCAGATGAAGTGACTCTGATTGCAACTGGGCCCCTCACCAATGTCGCCTTGGCCATCAAAATGGATCCCGACTTCACAAAGCTCCTCCATAGTTTCTACATCATGGGCGGAAATTTGAACGGTAACCGTCGTGTGTATAGCGGAATACGTTTGCAATATCGAACGCTGAAATCAATTTCTAATCACCGTATACAGTACTTATATGAAGCTAGGAGAGATGAAGTATACAAGTTGATGATTTCCGGTTTGTACATGGGAGAAAAACGAAACATGTGCAATCCCCCGAAAAGAAAAGGTCATCTACAAATTCTTTTTTTCTTTTCTCGCTTCGCCGAAGCATAAAATTAATCGAAAATGTATTGGAAATGACGTCCGATCCGCGATTTGATTGATTGAGCCGATCCATCAATCAATAATAATAATAATAATGAGACATGTGATTACTGTATACATAATATCCTGATGGCGAACGCATTTTCCACTTATTTTTTGTTGTTGTTTTGTTTTGTTCATCAGGTCGCGGGAACATCACGACTTGTGCCGAGTTCAACTTCCACAACGACCCGGAAGCTGCCCTGGTCACCTTGACCGAGTCCCTGACCCCGCCGAGGATGATCACTTTCGACCTCTGCATTTCCCAGGCGCTTTTCTCGCTCGTGAGTGACGTGCTCATGCGAGGGTTCTGACAAAAGTTCTTGGAGTAGCAATGGAAATGGATTACAATTGAGCTGGAAGTTTTTTTTTTTCTTTATGGAAAACATATTCTTTGGCAAACGAAAAAAATATCAGCCCTGTTTGACAATTTTTTTTGAATTTTTTTAATAATTCACCCTGAATGTCAAGTTGATTTCAAAAATTCTGAGGGGAAAGCTGGGCTGCAACAAAAAAAGAGCGCCGCAGGTTTTGAGTGGAGAGCAAAACTCTGCCAGGGTGAATTATTAAAAAAATTCAAAGAAATGTTGTCAAACAGGGCTGATATTTTTTTGTGTGCCAAAGAATATGTTTTCCCTAAAGAAAAAAATTGTTTCAGGTCAACTGTAAGCCATTTTCATTGCTACTCCGAGAACTTTTGTTAGAACCCTCATATGACGAGTCCATTACATCAGTTCTGTATTCAACATGGTTTTGTTTTGTACTGGCGTCTTATTATCGTTCTTCATTTAGAATAATAAGAGAAAAAAGTCCCGAAAAAAGCTTACGAGTCTTCGTGAATGATAATAACAATAATGAGCAGCTGGGATGATGCAAGTACAGTACTTACTGCACGTTATTCTCTCTTGCAATTATTGCGAATGTACGGGTTTTTCGTGGTTTAACTTCTTGTGAAATTTTTCAGAAGAGGCCCTTTCAAGAGTATACTTATTGAGATCTTTTCAAGGTTTAATACTGTACTTGCTTCTTCTGATTTTATATATAGGTGGTTATTTTTCTCGCTGGCATTTTCCCTCACTGAAAAACATTCAATGGTCTTATACACATTGCTTCCTATACTGTACTGCTGCATTTGGCAATTCAGGAATTTGGAAAACGAGTCATACCATATCATACCTTTATCACTTGTTTTTGTTTATTAAATACAGGATTGGAGGAAGAACAAACTTGGTCAGAAAGCGACTCGGCAAGCCCGATTTCAAAACAAGATTGAAGACACTCTGTTGAAGGCGTGAGTATATATGTACAGTATAGAACTGTACGCAAAAAAATAAATCTCGAAATTCCCTTTCCAAAATGTTGCACAATTTCTTTGTTCAAACGAAAGTCTCATTATTGTTGGTGAAATTTCGCATGAATCGGCAATAACCACTTTTGATATCGGACATCCGGTTGACGTTTCATCTTATTGTTTGAATGAGGAATTGATTGATGTACGCAAAGGGAAACAGTCACTCGTGATACGGGTTTTTTTCTCGTTTTCAAAAGCGAGTTTTCAGCCAAGTCATTATACTGTACCATGCGCAATATCCAGAGCAAAGAAGGCTTCATTTACGAAGATAACATTATAAATACTATCTTCTATTGACCAGAGGTTTTCCGCATCTTGAAATACAAGTGAGACCCCGAAATGCGGACAATTCGGATTGGGAACTCTGGAAAATTCAAAAAAATTGGCATAACATACAGATAATAATATCTCAGCCTATACAGACACTTTTTTTTAGCATTCTTGAAAATTTTTAAAATTTGAATATCTTTTGAACAAACTCAGCTACAGTATTTATATTCACAGCAATTAAAAATGAATATTATTATAAATTAACTTGAATTTATAATCAAAAACAGGTTAATTTTGTGCTTAATTTTTTTTAGCATTTTCTATCATCTGTGCACAGGATAGCAAGACTTATACATGTTTTGCTTGTATGTTTAAGTCCTTTTCATGCCATAGGATCATAATCTGGTTGGGTTTCTTTATTCTGTACCTTCAAGTTGAGAAACACATTTTATTTGATTTTTTAATTAATTCCCAATTTGCCATGAAGTCGAGAACCAATTGAATGAATTCCCATTCAAGTCTGTGGGAAAATGAGGGCTGACATGACGTGGACATTCTGACATAGGGATAACATAGGGGACATTTTGACTTGAACCCATTCACTTGATTAGCTGAATGGGTTCAAGCACAAATTACATCTGCAACTTGAGGTCTCACTGTAAATTCCCAGTACAATACACTACAGTACAGTGAGACCCCAAGATGCGGACGTAATTGGTGCATCAAGAGTGTCCTCAAGTCAAAATGTCCCTAAGTCAAGTCTTGTTTTCCCATAGACTTACATTATATAATTTTTAATTGGTGTTTTATGGAAGAAGTATACTCCAGAATTCCATGAAAAAATTGTTTGCCACTGTGAAGTTGATTCAGTGAATATATTTTCAACTCAATAAGAACATTTGGAGCATTGAATAGTGTATTTTTGTATGTTGGCATCTACAAAAATAACATTCCGGTCACAAAGAAAGAAGGAAGTCACTCTATGCAATAGGGAATTTTTTTTTAACTAGCTGAATGGGTGGGAAAATTATGGGAGGAATGACAGAGGATTTTTCTTGCATAAATCTAAGGGTTGGAAATATCTGTTTCTTGCAATCAAGCCAAATAAAAGTCAATTTTCGTGAAATTTATTGGCAATTTTATCATGCAATGTCCTCATGTTGAGTCAGTGTCCGTATGTTGGGCATTTCTTATGCCCTTTCTAATGAAAAATAAATGTCCCTACGCCAAATTGTCCTCATGTAGAGGTGTCCACATGTGGGGGTAATACACCTGTACCATTTGTTTTGGAGATCCCAGGTGGGTAGCTATTTTTGCTGTGACCCCACAGTAGGTGCACACCAGGGTCACAAGTGGTGCATATATGGGATAATCTGGGGTTACAAGTGTGCACTCCTGTGGAGGAAATTTTGCTACCATTCCAGGGTCACACTTGGTGCACAAATAATGTGAAATAACAGGAGTATCGCACAAATGTGCCAACTGTAACCTTTGTGTAACTTATTTGTTTACAAATGTGACCCTGAGTAATCCTGGTGTGAACACAGCACAATTGCTGTACATTGGGGATATGCATGTGCAACAGAAGAACTTTGGTACACTTCAGGTGCACATCAGGGTCACTGTGTAGAATTACAAACAAATCCCCAGTGTGCACCAATTTCCCCCCACTGGAAGAGACCCGAAAAACGAATATCCCCCCCCCCCCCATTTTCAATGACGTGTACAAAGAAGTCCTATGGCTCATTCTGGAAACGATCATTATTTATTGCTGCAAACATTATCATTAGGTTCGAAAAGTACTACGGGGACTACTCCATGTGGGACCAGGTGGCCGTGGCGGCAGCCCTGAACCCGGGCCAAGTCGTGACAGAGGCGTCCTCTGCGTGTGCCAGCGTGGAACTCGCGGGACAACACACCCGGGGACAAATGATCATCGAGTCTCGGCTTCGGCAGGACGACCGGAAAAACAACGTCGTCATCGTCGACAAAATCGACAAGACCGCGCTCGAAAACATGGTGTTGGACGCGTTCGACTGACTGACTTGACCATTCAAGCATCGTGATGGAAAAAGAAAGTTATACATAACGACGCGTGTCAGATGAGCCCATCATATCTCGTGTCAAAACTGCCCACGACTATTAATGTATATGAATGATTTGGAAATTCCGCCGAATTTTCGAAACCACCCTCATCGATCCTGGCTTATCATTTGTTTTTTTCTTTTTCAATGTTGAGCGAGAAATTAAATTCAGCGCACCGCGATTATAGTGATACTCTATACTTCTTGGCCAATCAAAAATGTGTGAACTCGACATGGATATATTTTAGATATGATCAAAATGTCAGCAATTTGAAAATGGGTGTTCATAAACGAACGTGAAGAAGAAGAAGAAGAAGAAATAATGAAATACGCGAAAATGAATCTTTGGGAATGAATTCAGCGCGTTTTGAAAGTGCCGGTACTAAAAAAAATTCGAAGACAACGAAAGAAGCCAATATGCTGATGCCGATTTTCAAAGACCCCCCAGGGTTGTTGAAGAAAAATGAATGAAAACGGTCTTCCCAACAACAAAAGCAAAAAAACCTGCTGCTGAAGTTTTTTACTCATCCGTGTCATTCAAAATATTCGAATTTCCTACTACAAACAAACAAGAAAGAAACCGTTGTTCTTTTCAAGAGTTTATATACAGTATTCCTCTTTTATTCGCAGGGCCCAAAAAATAAATAAAACGAGAATGGGGAATAAAAAGTTGCTCATAATAGATTGCGATCCCGGACTGGACGATGCCATGGCCCTCGTCATGGCTGGACATGGCCACAAAACGGGAACAGTCCGGATTTTGGCAATCACTTGTGTGCAAGGGAACACGAGTGTGGACAACTCGTCCAGGAATGCTTGCAGGGTGTTGGACGCACTTGGGATAAATGACGTGAGATTCAATTTCACCTTTACTGTATAGTATTCCAAAGATTTCCATCATCTATAATCCCTTGCAGAATTTCATCAATAGTCTCGGTTTACGAACGTAATCCATTCCTGAGCAAAGTTTGTTAACCCAATTGTACTGTACATTTTTCCTCAAGAATGTACAGGAATAATTTTAATTACAGGTGAACCTCTTTAAGTCGAATTTCTAGGGACAAGGAAAAAAATCGACTTGGGGAGGTTTTGATTTTTTGAGGAAAGGAAACAAATATTTTTGCTGCAAGGAAAGTGGGAAATTGTAGATGAGGATATTTTGGGCCTAAACTTGCTTCTTAATGAGTTTGCAGCTTGCTAAACTTGAAGGCAGGGGTTCATTTGTTCAATTAGTCCTTCACTTGATTTCAAAATGCATAAAATTATTTGTTTTGTTGATTTTCTCAATCATATTTCTAGGAAATAATGACCAAAAGGCCTCAGAAAATTCAACTTACAGAGGTTTGAGAGAAAACTACTTTGAGTTAGGGAGGTTTTTAATGCATTGTTTCTACGGGAATCCAGACAGGGACTTGAAAAAAATTCGAGTCAGGGAGGTTTGGCTTAGCAAGGTTCACCTGTAATCTATCCAGAATCTTGAAAGTGTCCATGCAAATCAAACATATTTTTCTTACCTGAAATATTTCCTGTGCCTATAAAATCCAAGAACTTTTATTGAGAAAGTTAAAAGAGAAAAAGCTCACAGAAGTTTTGATGAAGACAGGAGCCTCAGAAGGATGCCAGAGAGGGTGGGTGGATGAGCCAACACTTGTTCATGCAAAAAAAAGTCATTCAGAAAATGTATTTTGGCGTCATAGTCAATCCTTTTTAAAAATTCACTCACTCTAACTTTTGATCAACCTGTGTATGTAAACAGAACAAAGAACATGAAGGACAGGTGTACAACGCTATATTCAGGGGGGGGGGAACAAAGGGCAAATATAAAGTGGGAACACCATGATGAAAAAAAAACAGATGTAGTTAACTCAGAAGAAAAAAGAATTTTCAAAAATAAACACAGTTGTTGAAATAAAAGTCAAATTCATGCAAGAATCATTGAATTTTGTTATTCCAACCTCAATCCTGTAAAAGAGCAAGGCATAGCCACTATAGGAAATATATGGTGCCAATTACAGACCCAAGAGGGTGTGCATTTTGCAATTAGGCCTATCTTTGAACCCCCAAGGTTTGTGAACCAAGTCATGGATTGTTAGCCAAGGCCAAAATGCAAAGTTTGTTAACCAAACCCACACTGTATAAGGAATAAGAAAGATTCCCCCCATCAAGCATCAGAAGATGCACCTCTAATATGCTTTTGGGTGATAAAGTTTTTCTACAATTGAGAAATGGGCACATATGCTGAACTGCAGATCATGAATCTGCAGTTTAATAATTTCTGGTCTCAATTGAATAGTGCCTCAAAGTTAATTCCATATTGGCATTTTCAATCAACTTTCATTGCAACTTCAACAAGAAAGAGGACCAATAAATCCAGAATTAAGAATTTCTTCATTTCATGTGCAGTAAAATCTTGTTACAAAACAAACTGGTGGGCATGTTAAAAAAAAGTTTGTTGCCCTAAATACTGTACCACAATTTTTCATAACAAGTCTTTCAAAATTAATGATTGGTGGAAACAATTTTCACATCAGAAATGCCTATCATAAATTATGTCTTCGTTTCTAGTATTCTCACATAGTACACGTCAAAAAGTGAAAGATCTTCTGGAAAAAGTTAGCTTCAGTATACCATGCAATTCCATACATCTCTTTAACGTCTGCAGTGGGAGGAACAACCAGTAGGATCCTACAGGGTTCTGGGGGGGAATAATAAGGACGTCGTGTAACGTGTGTCTGTGGCCTTTTGCACCTTGAATTAATTTGCCTACTTGAAAACGCATCAATTAACATTAAGTTGTCAGGATGGCCAAGTGGTCTAAGGCGCTGCATCCAGGTCACAGTGTGGTTCTGCAGGCGTGGGTTTGAATCCCACTTCTGCAATCGTTTTTTAATTTTTTTGTTTCGTCTGCACTGCGGATGCTCTACTACTTGTTCTGGTTTTGAGAATGATGTGTGCAATCACTTACGTTTTGTCATTGATCACAGCTTCCATCCGTGCTACAATAAAAACCATTCAGTCAGTCACACTTCAAATCTGAAATTTCAGACTGTGCCTTAATCATAAAATTTCCAACTGGAGAATCTATTGAACATTTCTGAAAACAAAACAAAATTCTGTGCAGAACTGGAATTGGCAAGTTTGTTATACAGTAATGAGATTGTTTCAACAGGTATTCGACTGTGTATGGACTTGATGAAAAGTTTGTCATAAAATACTGATAAATTCGTTGTAATGGTAATTTTTATTGTAACAGAGATTTCAATTGACAATATTTTCTTTCTCTCTTTCCCAATAAACAGGTACCAGTGTTCAAGGGTGCGAGGGAAGCACTGGTGATGCCCTACGGCTGGGGCCACGAACCATTCCATGGCCCGAACGGCTTCGGAGGAATCGAGTTCCCCACGGAACCCGACACGACCAGAATCCACGAAGAACACGGGGTCTCTGCAATCACGAGGCTAGCTGACGAATACCCAGGCACACCGAAATTACCACGATACTTTTTGCACATTAGTCATCAACATTATCATTACACGATGACCTAAAACAATACCATGCATGAGCAGAATGAATAAACTCTTTCGGTTTTTTTTTTTTTTTGTCTGTGAATTTCAGGGGAAATTTCCCTGGTCCTGCTCGGACCGGTCACCAACGCAGCTCTGGCCATGAGAATGGATCACGAATTCGGAAGCAAACTCAAGGATATCTACGTCATGGGCGGAAACTTTGAAGGTGCTGGAAGAGACACAAGATTCTTTTTCACTGTTTTTTCCCGGTGGAAGTAGTAAATGCCGACTGTCTTTTTCAACTATTATGTGATATGCACCGCAGCTCCCTTATTCTCTGTGCCACATATACTGGATTATTATCATGTACGAGCTGCCGAATTTACGCTGCTCCCCCTTCCCCCCTGCCTCACTCCCTAAACCCATCACTCTCTCTTTGAAGAAAAATCATGAGAGACTTCAGAAGGCCTGTTTGAATGGGTATAAATAGTGTAGTAGGAGAAGTACTATCAACAAATATAATTAATATTCATTTTTATAAACTGTATGGCTTTACTGAAGGTTCTCTTTTCATTAATCTGATTATAAAAGTTGAGTACATGCAATGAGAAATTGTCTGAATTAAATTTGCTTATTTAATTCTTTCCCGGTGGAAGTAGTGAATGCCGACTGTCTTTTTCAACTATTATGTGATATGCACCGCAGCTCCCTTAATCTCTGTGCCACATATACTGGATTATTATCATGTAAAAGTGCTTCTGGATTGTGCTTTTCTTGGCTCTAGAAGGAATTGGTTCCATATAGACCGAGCGGAGACAGATATCCAATGAATGCAAATACATTCAAACCCCGATTTAGTGCCATTGTTTGTCCTGGCACATTTTGTGGCACTAAATCAAGGTTAATATATGACAAAATCTAATCCAGTTCATTATAGGAAGAATAAGCTTTTTCGCAGAATTTTTGGGCCAATCAGGGTGTTCTGCAAGAGAAAAAGCCAAAAATAATAATTGTTGAATCTCAAAGGTATACTTTTTCCACATTTTATTGCAGAATATATATAAAGGCAGAATGATTAAATTTTTCAACATTTGACGTCTAGTAAAAGATCACAGCTGTTTCTCAAGATTTTGAAGACATTTCAGTTGGTTTTATATGAAGTGCCATCCTGAAAGAATCACTGATGTTTCTGCAAAAGCTTTCACGTTTTTTTTTCTATTTCCAATTGAGGAGGGTAACATGCAACAAGAAATATTTTTCAATAATGTAAATTGAAGAATAGATTTTTTCACATTTAACCTGAGATTTTATTTCAGTGTGGGGATGTGATTCTCAGTCACAAGTCTTGTCATTCAATGATATCCTTGGAAAAATGCCTCGGTTACTTCAATTTCTGCCCAATTTTTTGAACAGGACAGAGATTTTTTTTTTAGTGTCAAGTGAGTTGACACTGAAGTGGGGTTATCATAAATGACAGGATGGAGATCTGTACCAGGGAAATTTGTGGCACTATGCAAGAGGGTGTATTGAGGGTTGACGGTACTGTATATATCTCAATTGACATATTCCCTGATGCGTGCAGAAATTGGAAAAACGACTTCAATGGAAGGTCCGGAGTTCAACTTCGCAGCAGACCCCGACGCAGCTTTTGTTCTATTCAGCGAAGCGAAATGTCCCTTGTACATCTTCAGCTGGGAATTGTGCGAAATGCGTTGTCAAGTGCCAATTGTAAGTACAATAATGTACAGACTACAACCGACAAAAAACAAAACTTGGACATTTTCAATTCATTGTAGTCGACAACGAAATGCGACACGCTCTGCTGTACGCGAAAAACTTCACTTTTCTCATTGTAATTACAGTATAAAACTCGGAATTAAAGTATTCGACGTCCTGAATTTAACCGAATGTATACCTTTCCGTATGGGATCACGTGAATAATACATACGGAGGACCCGACTAATTTAATCCCCTGTACTGCTGTACTGTAATTCAGGAATGGCGCAGGGATCTCCTGAGCGACATTGACACTCCTCACGCCCGATTACAAGAACTCATCGAAGGACCATCCCTGAAGACGTGAGTACGGCACATGCAAGGGTAGCTCATCATCGTAAGCCACAGGAATTCAAATTCTATGGTATTGCTGCACTAATAACTGGATGCTGACTTTCGTTAGTGAAAATGAGTAGAAATCAGTCAAGGGTGAGGGATTTGATTCCTTTCACCGTCCAGTAAGTCCATTATTAGAAATTTAATTTTTTGGCATAGTGAAGCGCAATCTCCTCTCGATATGAATGGAGTACTGCACAAATAATTTTTGATAATTGGTCGAATGACGTAAGAAATCTTAGTACAATATAAATAACTGTAAATCTGTAACGTCAAAAAGTATCAATAATCCAAAGTACATAAGATATATACTCAAGCACCAGCAGCCAACCTCAGGCAATACATGATCTCTGCAATTTTGATGGAATCGTATCCACTATACCATCAGTAAGACACACACCCCGCTTTTCACGATTGAAAAAAATACAGTATTTCAGAAGCATGTGACATCAGAATTCAAATTTGAATGTTTATCCGACCTGAATCCAATCAATTGTTTTGAAAGCAACTAAGATCTTTTCAAGAATGTCCCATTATAACCGCGTGGGACACACAACTAAAGTCCATCATTTCTTTTTCAAAATTTTACCCCACCTATAACCCATGCACACCCCCTGTTTTCTCTTTCTCAATTTTAAGAAAAGATAAATAGAATTGTGTGCGGCACTTGAGTAAACACGGAACTACGGCATTGAATGAGATAATATAGTATTATGTAACAGAAATTTTAAAATACTGTAAGTTTCCGAGTGCTCTGCGAGATGAGTCACGCCCCTGCAATAACTTGGAAGGGTCCACCCATAGGCAAATATGTACAGTATTACCTAGTAAAAACCCCTCGAATTGAACCAGCCCTTGGTGTACAGCAGCTTCTTCGATTACAGTACAGTACAGTGCTTGCATAACTAATTGCTTTTTCCTTGAATAAACGCTTTCAACCTCTCTTCCAATACAACAGATACGAGTTCCCGGAATACCTTCTCTGCGATCAGCTCGCCATGGCGGGGGCTCTAGACCCAGCCACGATTCTGGAATCCACCGCGGGGTTCTCCTCGATCAATACCACGGACAAGAAGCAACGCGGACGAACAATGGTTGACCTCGACATCACTGCGAAGACCCGACCCAACGTCACTTTTGTCACTCGCATGGACATGGCAGAAATAGAGGGCATGATTAAGAAAGCTTACGCGTTTGTACCCGAACACGGCAAGAATTTGAATATATGACGAACGCGTCTAACGGAAGAAAAAAGTGTAGTTCAGTCTTCCCACCTTGTTCAATTCCTGTACGCCTGCCTAGAGTTTATTCTCGAATGATTACAGCTACCAGCTCACGGATCGAGGCATTAATTACTTTATAATGGGTCATTGAAATTTTCTTCGCGGGGCAAATGACTGTATCCGCATGTAAGACACGAAGTACAACCTCCTTAATGAGCTATGAAGAACTGCGAACGTAGTAAAGTCACTGGTTATCGGACCAAACCAAACATGCTTCGCTCGAAAGTACGTCACTTCAGAGATAAGTAACGTCTGCTCACCAGCCTCATCCTGTGCATCAGAAAGCTCCTCCACCCACGTCACGGCTGCAAACCCTTTCCACACTGAAGAGAACGAACACAGCGAAAATCAAACTCGACACACACACTTTACAAAAGGAGCATCTAATGAAAACCAGAAGGGATCAGTGAAAAACACGAAGCATTTAATGGTTCCCTACAATGTGTTCCAAAACCGTCAGTCGACAGAACAAAACGTAGCCAGCAAGTGCACGCAAAAAACCCAGAGAAAATTTTGGTTTCGTACATCGAGTCGAAATAAAAATCCACTTCCAAAGCAGGCTCTCAACGCCCTTCTATGTACGTCGATAGATCAATTTCAGCCGGCAACTCCGTAATATTCACGTCGAACCGGTCTTGTACGGCATTCAATGTCTTCGCGTCTTGTTCGTCACTTACAAATGTGACTGCCAAACCCTGAAACAGACAGCGGAACACGAGATGAGTTTCTAGCAGGCGGTATGATTTCCCCCCGCTGTAATAGGTGTGAATCAGGGAGAGAGTTCAAGGTGATTTGATCAGCAAGATGATATAAGACACCTTTTCTTCATCACTCAGAAAGAAGGGGGTAAAATTCATCGTGTTCAACCAACCTTAGTTCCGAATCGACCGGCGCGGGCAACTCGATGTAAGTACGTGTCAGAGTCCTCCGGCATGTCGTAATTAAAAACGATGTTAACCCGCTCAATGTCCATTCCTCGACCGAAAAGATCCGTGGCGATCAGAATGCGCTAAGATCAAGTCAATGACACAGTAGACATTAGAATAAGAACTTCACGTGCGGACGATGAGATTTGCTTCATTTCATCGTTTTGAGTCGGAGCAAAAGCGGGCAAGTCTTAAGATGCCTATTCAACGATGGCTGCGAGGGATTAGTCCAAGATTTACAGACCTTTTCGAAGTCCTTGAATTCCTGGTAGCGTTTCAGCCGTTCCTCCTGCGACATGCTCCGATGGATGGCGATGGCGGGGAAATTCTGCTCGATGAGAAGCTGCGACAACGCCACACAGCGCTGAACACTCCTCACAAAAATCACCACCTGTGGACAAAAAACCCTCTCCATTCAATACGGACCCGAAAAACGACTCGATATCCTCGAAATAACTCTCGATCAGAAGGAGATATACGGTAGTCATCGTTATCATTTGTCCCTATCTCAACTCATCATCTGAAAGCATTCCTTTGCCAAGACGGTTTTCCCCCTCACCTGATTAAACTCGAGAGCGTCCAGGAGCTCGAACAGCTTCTTGTTCTTTTCGTTCTCTTTCAGCTTCACGTAGTGCTGGAGCAGTCCGTGCAACGTCAGCTTGGCTTCGTCATCGACGTACACCTCCATAGGCTAGGGGACAGAAAAATCTACCGTCAACACCACACACAACATGCGGAGCCGTGAACCAAAGACGACAGCAGCGACAGCCTCGAAAACGTCCACAGCCTTGGTCCATCACGGCTCCCAAACTTGGAAACGATGTATTTACGTCTTGCATGAACTTCTTGCAAATCGGACGGATCTCCTTGCTCAACGTGGCGGAGAACATCATGACTTGCTTGGAATGCGGCGTGTTCCGGAAGATTTCCTGGACATCCCGTCTCATATCTAAAATTCAACGGTGATCATGAAGAACGACTCGAACAGCACGCGGACCAACGGACGACTCACCAAGTTGGTCGAGCATCTTGTCGCACTCGTCAAGGACGAAATGTTTCAGATGCTTCAGGTTCAGCTGCCTGTTCCGGATGAGAGCGAGAATCCTTCCCGGAGTTCCGACCACGATGTGCGGGCAGTTGCTACGCAACGCATCCTCGTCCTTCGAAATGTTGACTCCGCCGAAAAACACGCCGACCTAGATGGCAATACATAGGATTGAAAACATTATGTACTATGACATTGATTTCTAACTCGATTGACAAACCTTGCAAGAGGGGATGTACTTTGAAAAACGTTCGTACTCCTTCGCAATTTGATACGCAAGCTCCCGGGTGTGGCATAAAACTAGAACCGAAACTTGTCCGTCTACAGAATCCAACTGCTGCAACGTGGCAAGAATGAACACTGCGGTCTTCCCCATGCCGGACTTAGCTTGGCAGAGAACGTCCATGCCCAGAATCGCTTGCGGTATACATTCGTGCTGCACTGTAAATGACACAAGTTGGCATTAGAACAAAGCCAGGACAATATCAAATCATGGAGTGCACATGCGGTATCAGCAGGGGAATCACTTAGATCAATCACGAATTCATGAAGTCGGAACGATATTCATCACTCGAAAGAATCAAAACGGATTTGAAGACGAACTTCTAACCTTCAGAGGGGTGCTCAAAGCCACAGTCGATGATGGCCCTGAGAATTTCAGGCTTCAGCAGGAAATCCCGGAACCCGGAACTGTGGATCGACACGTAGGCGGCCTTGATGTTCTTCTTCCCGATATCATTGCTGACCTCTTCCGCGTTGTTCTGCTCCGTCGCATCCTCGTCTTCCTCGTAGTCCAAGAGCTCTTCGTTGGCTGTCATTCCATCGTCCGCCATTATGAAGGATTACGCTTGCGAAATCCGTAAGAACTTCTGTCACAAGAAAACAGCAACTCCCATTTGCTACGAAGGCCATGATAAATCTTGGTCCGTGCGTCGCACGCGATCACAGCGGTACTAAGGACGCTGTTCTCCAGGTGAATCCCGCGATTCCCTCGAGAGCAGCCCCCAATTTACGCGAGGATACTATTCCAGTAGGTTTATACAACTCGATAAAGGATCTTGCGGTCATGCCGTCGCGTGACATGCAGAACATAGAACTACGTCCGCATGACACGACGAAGGAATTCGAAGCCATCGGTTGATAACTTCACATGCCACGTACACGACTCAATGTGATCTGGTCCCAGCACACACAGCAGAAGACAGCTCGCAACTGATGTTGAAATGAGGTCGCTAAGCGAGCGAATACTGTAATCGACTAACCGCCCATTTTGGTGGAAAGTAGCCATGTTCCCGGCATGTTCCACGTAGGCTTCATCGAGTATTCTCGCAGTGATAACGGGGGTTTTCCTACTGATGAGAGTGGCCTTCCTTGATTCAAGGGGCCTTTCTTGATTCAAAATTTTTGGAAAGATGTCGTTGCTTTCCACGTTTTATTTTCTTCTTCTGAGTAAGGATTTCCAGCTGTGGATTGTGGACAGACACTATTAACTGCTGCAGCCCGCATCCATCACCATGTACTGTACATAACAAATGTGACGAACAATGTCATTCTGCTGGTTATACGCACTTGAAATTAAGGAACGTGACATAGACAGGGAAAATTGTCCAAATAAGAATACCTCGAGCGTGCAATCGTTTACCGCCGCGATGCTTTTTTTTCACTTATTCAGCCCCGCAATTGAACAGCCTGAAACTGAGCAGAAAAACGTCCCGCTTTAACTGAATTGAGTAAATGTCGTACTGTTCAATCATGCACGGTAATACATTAATTTGAATATTACGCATTATTATACTATACTTACTGCAATTGGATTAATGTTCCTTTTAAATTCCAAATCATAGTCCATTATCTGACACGTTTTTTCGGCACTGTCTGAAAACTTTCGAGGCGATTTCAACAAATATCTTGGTTGAGACATTTCTTACTGATGTATGATGTGTGTAGCACAGTATAATCAAGCATAAAGAAGTACTGGAAATAAAATTTAAAAAATGGACAAACACGCAGAGGTAACGGTAAGAATTTCTTTCATCTAACTTTTGCATGGGTAAAATGGAATAAAAAACTTTGGCTGGCTAGTTGTCAGAGCTTCGTTCATTATTGACGATCAATAATGCACCAATGTACTGTTTCCCATTTTCTCCCCATACAGAGATTCTTCAATATCTCTACCATAACATTGAAAATATTCGTGCGCCGAGTATCTGACCATAGGGGTGCAATACACAATGCGTGATAAAGGATATTGTTTAAACAATGTGAAGATAATTCAGAAAACTGTCCGTATTAAGAAGGAATTATTGCTGGGGACCTGTGTTGAGTGTGTCACATGAGAAAGGCAGCAAGTAGGCTTATTCTCTTAACATTTCTCACGTGAGAAACAAAAGGCACCCGAGTGCAAAAGAAGACTTTCTGGAATTCATATTATCAAGTTTGAGTTATGTACTCGTTTTATACGAAGACCAGAGTACAGTGTGTACGGACTATATAATTCCCCTGATTATTCCGACCATGTATCTGTACAAAATCCAAATTGCATTTACAATAAGAGAAGTAAACCAAAATGAGTTGCATGAAAAAAATCGTATCTCTGTATTCCATTTCACAGATTGAACAAATATACGGCGGCGATCGAAAACACATTTTTCTTCCAATAATTCAATGCCAAACCGCATCAGAGGCACACAGCAATCATCAATTCACAGCAGCAGCAGCAGCATACCAAGATGGCGGAGTTGTCATCGCCAAGATTTGAAAATTTCTCCTCCCAATGATTCAAAGAGGGCAACGAACGATTCAGCTCTCGGTCTCACTGTTGAGACGACAATCAATCACGTGACAAGTACAGTACTGTACTGCATAGCTTCAGAGTTTCGCAGAACCCGCAGACAGCACATCTCGCATATCTTCCAAGCTCTCCCCCAGGGCATCCCGCAATTTCCTCGAGTGCGTCTCCGGACTCGTTAGGCAGGCAGACAACCCGAAATTGATCGAGTCTGGTCGCGGGTTGTAGCAACACCCGTAGCCGTCGGGCACGAGGGGACCAAAGCACATCACTGTGTCATAACGCGCAGGAACCTGCCATACAAAAATAAATACTGTACATGCAATGTACATATAAAAAAAACAATAAAAAACAACTGGAGTACCACGGAAACCTTTTTCTCGAAAAAGGGATGTGCGTCATAAAAGGGTTATACATTTTAAGAAGAGTTTCAAAAGTTTCAGTGTGCACTACACTTAATTATGATGGGAAATCTTGGACCAATAAGTTGTACAGAAAAAAATTATTTCAATGGAAACAATAGAAAAATTAGTAGATTAAAAAATTAATCTAAAAAACCACTTGTTCAAAAAGCAAAAAATAACCTTAAACGTGGTGCGCATCTTGATCCGGACAAACAAACAGACAAGAAAGCAAGTTAATAAAAACGTGTTAATAAGCTTCATTCATGTTCGAATTCAAACTTGGGTGCTCTTATCTTTGTAGCATTGCTGCGTTACGAGTCACTAAAAATGGGGTGCGTGCCTTACCCAGGAATACAATTTTATGAAAATTGCAGATTGGTAAACCCTCGTGCGCCTCGTACTTGTGTAGATACGGTTCACATTCGATATGCTTAAAATTACATTATTTGCAGATTAAATACAGGCTGGACTAGAAAACTTTTTAGAATCATTTTCAAATGCATTAATTCGGTGAACCTACCGCATTGGAAATACTGCATCTTGAATCTCACCTCAATACCATTACTTCTCAAATTACATGGCTTGTACAGTATATACAGTACTTGAGAATCAGCAGCACCTAGGCCACTTAAATGCCGTAATACACAGTACCCATGAAAAAGGAAGTTGTACTACTCTTGCATTTGAGTTTCTATTCCACCAGCTCCTCGAGTTTTGGATCCTTTTCAATAATAAATTTCATTTATGGGAGATACGTTCAACGCATTTGCTATTAAAGTCGTTCAATGTTGAAAAGGCACGCGCAATAAAAAAAATTCTCCACAAGGATTAATTGAGAAAAATAATCACACGCAGTATTAATCGTGAAGAAAAAAAGGCTGAAGCCGTCATTTCGCAGATATCTTTTCCCAGTACTTTAATACGAGCAGAGAACTTAATCTTGGTTCAGCTTGCAATCGAGCACGTACTTGGGATGTTGACAAACGCATGTGACTCGATCTCGTATAACCGGGGTCCAGGAACATTTCGTGAATGTCCATACCATTCTCAATCGCGGTCTGCTTCAAGCCCAACAAATGCCTGTCTACTCCGTACCCATCACATGCCTACAATGGAAAAAAAAAATATGTGAACAAACAAATTTCGTTAGAACGACTTGACCAGGTCCATGGTTCTGCGAGCATTCAGGACTTAAATTTTCTTGGTTAAATTTTCATGTGTTAAACTGCTTCCACACCGGATATGTGAAGAATTGCTATAATTCCCAACTTCGATGGAATAGTCCAAAATATAATTCTCTCATTTAAAATTTGTCCTCGCTTAGATTCCCTGAAATATTACTGATCTTACTGAAAAATACGCTGAAAAAAAACGTGTGTAAAAATATAATTTATTCAATAAGTACTGTATGTTTCCCGAAACAGAACAGTATCCTTCCAAATTTACGTTTCTTCAAAATTAGCCATATCTAAAAGTTGATCACAGCTTCATAATTCCGGTAGTACAGTACTAAATTTTCGAAACACACATAGATTAGAATCTATATTTTCTGAAGGTTCTTCAATCATGGAGAAGTTGGGTTTTCCCAAGACAGTAATTTAGTTGGTACCTGCGCACATAATCAAGGCAAAAATTCCATTTACTCAAATTACAGAGGAAATTTACTTTGTTATACCAAAATTTCGGACAACATTGTCCCAAATGACTTTTCCTGTTCATATTTCATCAGATTCCGCGAGATGACACTTCAAAATCGAGGGATGTTCTTACTTCAATCACATATTTCTTGTGCCCTTCGACAGCGTTCTTCAGGGCCTGGACCTTGTCGTTTATAGAAACTGCCCTACTCATCATGGCTTTACAAAATTCCAGTGATTCCATAGAGCACGACCGGATGGCCTCAGTTCTACCGAGAAGGTACTTGCGCGTTGAAGCACTTTCATACGTTGCAGCGGGTTCCCCATGAATCCTGAAATATATTTTCAGCATTTCTGAAAAATATCGCCTTTCTCTTGGGATACGTGGACAGTTCATCAAACAGAAATCAACGGAAGTTGAATTTTTTCTCCCCTATTCATCGCACATTTTTTTGTTGAATCATTTAAAGTGTACCGCAGCGGACAATCGTATGTTTGCTCCGGATTTTCTCACCCACGGAATGCACTAATTAATACTCCTGCTAGACCTTCAAAAAACAAAAAATGTATTATACAGTATGTTTGATTACCTGTAGAACGCCAGTTGGATGGCCATTTGGATGAAAGAGTCCGGAGACATCTTGAACGTCTTGATGAGGTTCTTGCCATAGTGGGGAAACGTATACATCGTCATTTCCAGGTCAGACACCATCCTGATAATGATCATGTGGTTAACAAGCAGTTTTGCACAATGCGACGAGAGAGAGCCACGGGATTATTTACCCATCAAGATCTTGTTGAGCAGTTTCAATGGCGTCGCGAACCGATGAAGGGATATTGAAATCTAGCTTCTTCGGAGGATGGACGCTCATTGCGGATTTACCAACAGCCTTTTTCTTCTCCGTTCTACAAGAACACCACAATAAAAGAAGGATTGTTAGGAATACAGTCGAGTAACCCTTTTAAACGGATAGAGTCGATGCTAAAACTCACACAAAATCCATCACATGATCGGTAAGATTGGCAATCGGAGGTCCTTCAGCAGGCGAGTGCTCGTAAGCCATTCCTAGCTGACCTTTGGTGCCGATAATAACTTGAATTGTCTTGTCATACCTAGGAAATACACGAACGAACGAAAAAAACTCATGTGTACCAGACTAACAAAAGATGAAAACCCCAGGTAAAGTAAATTGCACCACGTCCCCGATCGCTTAGAATATTCACGTCGAATCATTTTATTCCCTCAAAGCCGACATAATTTATTCCGCACAGCAGCAAACTCGACTTCCGTCAAACCGGTTTTTTCTTTTAATAATTGAAATTGATAATCTCGAGATATAGGACAGGTGAACCTCCGCATGCAGAATATCTTTTAAAGTCCCTTTCTGAATTCCCTTAGAAACATTGTATAAAATCTTCCCTAAATCGAAGAACCCCTTCCTCAAACCAAGAATTCAAATTTTCCAGAGACTTCTTGGGTATTATTCTCTCAAAAATTTAACCTGATGTGTTTTGAAATGAAATGAACGACTAATTGGGCGAATGAACCCTTGCCTAAGATTCAGCATCCTCTCAACTTACTACTGTAGTAGCAATTGAAGGCCCAGAATATAATTTATTACAATTTTCTGCAATTTCATACTTATCACGGAAGAATTGAATGAAATTTGATCTCAGACATGAAATGAACATGCTCCCCACAAAAAGAAAGTACGGGAAAACACACAACGACTCACCATCTGTTACCGGAATTACTCTTGTTCCCACAGCCATGGATCATTTCTAAAGCGGCAACAGTACGTTCATCCGGGGCATGCTCGGGCATGTCCGGATTAGGACCATCCAGGCAAATAACGCAAATGGAGGAGTTGATGGAGCCCAGGATTGCCTTATTCCCTTTAGCTTGCCTCAGGGCATCATAGGCTGCTCCCCAATTTGCCCGATTGTCCATAGTACATACTCCTAATGGGATTCCCGGGCTCTGCGATTGATCAACAATACTCCACAGTTGCTCTGCAATCTGCTCCTCTGAAAGTGCCTGCTCCCCGCTTTTGTCATACACATCCATGTGGAAGAACTGGAAAACGCGTAGAATTTATCCCTCAGAATTCAATCTCATTCACTTTAAATTTACGCCGCGAATGAAAAACGCAAAAATTTGCAATGAAGCAGGCGCCTCGGATTTCTCACACCCTCAGTGTCGTAAATGAGATGCAATACAGTACTACGATTAACATGAATACATTTACAAGCCGAATGAGCTCGATTACGAATCAAAATAGAACTCATCCACGGTCGATGTTACAAATTTGAAAAAAGATACCTCATGACAGCTTAAACGCGGTACAACCTTCCATCGGAAAATTCTCAACCACAGATGGTCAAACTCCACGATGATTTTTTTTTACCTTTTAGCGAAAATCTTCTAGCTAGAAGCCCAACAGAGCTTGCGTACTTACATGATTATTTCGCAACACAACCAAATGTGTAGGAAGCGGATGGACATCTCCGTAATGCACCAATTTGTCAACAGTTCTTCCCGGGATGCGACAGGTGTAAAAAATGGAATAGTACTGCGACATATCCATTGGATTTTTCCCCGACCATTCTTGCGGTACCGCGCGTCTGATAAATACAAAATCTTGAAAATCCGACAAGGAAGCGTCACATCGTCACGACACTCACTTGTCAATAATGGATTTGTAGTCCAGAATCCCAGCGATGACCCTCGCGGCGAGTTTCAGCTGGCCATCCAAAGTTGAAACTTCTTGTTGCGGAAGCAGAATACCTGGACTACTCCAAACAGGTAATGGTAGACGGTATTGGAGATAGGCGAGATTAAGCCACCACTCCGCCAACTACACATAGGCATGTTTCAAATTCAACCGATTCCCCTATCACAGCGCCAACAGGCAAATGAAAGAACGAACCCAACTGTCAGTCGAAGCAGCTCTGGCTTTCAGTAGTTTCTGCAGCTTTTCCCCGAGGCCGCCTGGAGCGGCGAAGTCTTTCACAGCTTTCTCCGTTACCGAGAATTCTTCATCAGTGACATGCGGCTTAACAGTTCTGCATCGATAAAGCTACTTAATGATGACATTTTCGTCTGTATCATGTGACAAGAACTTCTATCGCACCTCAAGTACTTCTGGAGTGTATCACGAAGTTCAGGCACAGGCTGACGCGGCAGATCGTCGCGCAACAGCGCGTTACTTGGTTGACTTGAAAATTTAGCCACTTTCGGGACGGAACCATTGTGAGATTGAATATTCCGATGATCACGATCGGATCTTTTGGCTACAGAGCCCGTAAGAGTCGAGACCCATAACTTGTACGGTAAGAAAGATGTCGAGCTTCGGTACGTAGGAGAGCTCAGCTTTAAATCACGGGCCGACCGAGCCTGGGGAAAAATTAGAAGCCATGTAAAGTCTTAATCAGGCCAGCATTATCTTTCGCCAAAATTTCTCCGGAATTCGTGAGAGAATGCTGAACCTTCAGTGCACGAGAGAAATCCGCAGAAACGGTACGTACCATGCGAGAGATCGCGGATGTTCTTTTGAGAATGGACGACATCGCGGCTGTTCCACCCTCACGCCCCGCGCTCTCCAAATACCCTTCTTTCTGTAACATAGTTTACGATCTGATGAGCCACTGACAACTGAAAGAAATCCTGCACGGGAGCACGAGACAAGATACCCGCCCTTATCTGTCGGATCGAACACTTCAGACCCGAATGAAATACTTTTTATTCCACTCATGCCGAACACGAAACGAAAAATATTCTCTGCAGATATCACTGCTTTATACTCAGTTTTACACAGAACTTCGACCCCACGATGACATTGCACGATCTGTCGACAACACGTGTGCTCCACTCTAAAAAAACCTTCCAGGGATAGGATACGTTCGTAAACGTTATCCTATCCGGTTCCCGAACATGTCCTGCGGATACGTTACATATCCTGTTCACGATCCGGGCCACATCGACCATCCTGCTTTTTTTGAGCCATTTAGAATACAGTAGTGTAATATTGTACGTGTGATAGTTTACGTCGCAGTAATCATTAAAATGGTATGCGACAATATGTTACGCAAATAAACTTCATCGAAAACTGCAGTTCGCTCGAAGGAGGCTGCGGTTGAACTACCATACGCACGCAGTGTTAGAAACCTCAATTAAAAAAGCCTGTAATAAATCCATTTCTGATAAGGTTGCACGACCAGTGAACATGAGGCATTACGCATTCTCAACAGTATACGTTTCGAGGAGATAATGATGGATTTGAACACTGAAAAATACAGCATTACACGCAGTCAGGCTTGGAAATTTAAAATTTAACAGCAGCTAACTGGGGACATCATCTCAATGGTTAGAGATAGCTATTTCTTCGAGCGTGAACATTTTAAATTGGATAATCTCCATTCAGTTGAATGTCCCGATATATTTGACTGTACAGAGAAGCATAATTGCGAAGCAAAAGAAGACGAATTGGCGAGTCACGCGAAGCTGAAACATTCTTCCGAATCTTTGGCTGTCCTTCACGCCACATACACACAGTTTCCAGAAGACTCAGAAACAGACCCAGAGCTTCTCGAGGCGGGAAAATTCGACGATTCACCGGAAATAACTTCAGCAATGTCCAAAGAACCGGAACAACCGCGGAAAGGCAGACACAGACGTTCGAAACGGGTCAGGTTTTCACAGTTCACCTCCATTTCCCCGCTGGCATTCGGGTATCAACGACTGAGAGGAGCATCTCAGTCCTATCCAGGGCCACTGAAATCGTCTCGGACGCTTAAGAAGGTCACCTACCTTTCCTTTCATTCTCTACGTTCGCTCATACATATTCTTCTCGAACGTGTCCACACACCACCTTCAGGCCATCGCATGGAAACTGAGCTCGAAAAAGAGAGATTCTGGCAAACATGGCCTGCTTGGGAGGGAATCAGCCACAGCCCATAAGATCGTCAGTGAAGAATTCACTCCAAAGAGAAACGGAAGCCCAGACGGATGCATGCAAATACACAGGGATTTTTTGGATGAACCTGTTCAACTGACAGGGGTAATGTATAAATACAGTACACAACAAATGCTTGCTGCTTGATAACTAAAGCGGGAGGGTTAATTATACAGCGCCACAACTGAGAACAATTTTGCAAATAAAATACAGTTCTGTACCTTTTAATGAAATGAAATTAGATGAAAAATGAACCCAGCAAAATGCATGTTAAAAGGGATTTCGGATGCCTCAGAAACTCTACTGATGCTAAACAACTATTCGCTTTATTCTTGTAACACCCTCTCTTGCTAATCTGTACAGAATTTGCTCAGAAAAACGTGGAAAGTTTTAGAAGTCCACAACTTGAAAAATTCTTTACGTGTAGTTCAGAGTAAAATTCTACTAGTGACATTTGAATTTCTATTTTAAGATCACATTTTTTCTAACTTGGAAAGGTACCAAAAAGACCTCAAAAGATTTTGCAGACAAGCAGGGTTAATCTAAAACTATCTTCCCATTCATAATTTTTGGAAATCTTGGTTTCAGAAACATATTTGTTGGAGCGAATTTTTTCTGAAGCCACCAATGGTTTTTTTTTTTAAAGAAGATTTTATTGGCACACAAATTACCAAGAGGTCTGCAAGGTATTTTCAGAAATCGACTTTTTGAGTTAGCTACATGTAAGTTCATAAGACAAAATTGATCAATTAAATCATCATTCTTTAATGTTTTCATTTCAATTTCGTGGAGTATGTTCTGCTATCAATCAGGTCTAAATGTATCATTTTCCGATTCAAAGATGCCCGTGAAACACTCACCAGCCGTAGCTGACCTCAGTTCGAGAACATCCTCACGAAATTTCGGCGGCGACGGAGACTCGAAATGGAAGCGAGCCAAAGAATTAATGAAATCACTGATCGCAGCCGGATGCGGGTGTTTGCAGAATCAAAGGAGTAAACCCGAAGACTGGGAAATCCTTCAGGTCAGACCCAACACTCTCATCCTTAATCACTCTTCAAAACGTCCCGCAATCATTGAATTGAAGCACATCCATATCGTTCGCGACACTTTTTGACGAAACTCTAGGATTCGGGTATGAATAATTTTGACGACAGGAAATCGACTCGTCATCGAGTCACTCGTCACAAGACGTCAAGCACCCGACGACAGCACTGTCAACGCCCACGAAATGCAACGCAAGACGTCGCATCATCACCGTCGACTCCGGCATTTGCAAAGCGACAGCGTCGATCATCACAAACTCACCGTCACCAGCAGCCGGCGACAATAGGATCAGCCGGAATCCGAAGCCATGATACAACTCGATAAAAAGAAAAGCGGATTTCGCAAGTAAAACTCGGCGATATAATTCCTTCCCAATCCAACAGAACACGGAAAACGGGTTCTCCATGGATCACATGTACTCTGGGAGAAAAATAGCCATCAACTAGGGAAGTGCACAACAATTGTGGGGAGGGAACCGCCTCAGGGCAAGGCAACAACGAGAAAGATCCACCTCAACATCACGGAAACGGGTAAAATAAAACCACGCATCACAACGCTGAAAATGTACTTCGCGTCACCATTCGGTGCGAGGAAATGTTGCCTCGATTACTCAATTTTCAAATTTTCCTTCTCTGACGTGATGAACGACATAAAACGAAAACGCTGGAATTCTTTCTATTTTGGCAGAACAGAGGGTTCTGAGAATACTGTGTACCGCATTTACGCGAATACAAACGGTTCATCGAATCTAGAACTCAAATTTCTCACCACCCGGAAATAAAGAGTTTCGATTCTTAGAAGCACTGTCTAAAATGCCAGAATCTATTTCGCACTGGGTGGACCAAAAAATGGGTCACGTGCTTCACGTATCTTCTCAGACATAAAACTTTCACAATGGAAACCTCGAAGTCTCACCACTTTTCAATCAAGTCGAACTCAAGCAGTACACCTGGAACATACAAGAGAACACGTTTCCAGATACTTCCTCACAACACACGGAATTTCTTCTCTGGCATCTCAGGCTAAGATCACGCGTTTGAATTAACCTGAACGCTATAAATATGCTCAAACGAATTTTCAAGATACTGCATTTAATTTCCAAATTGGTGCAATTTGTGGACCATTCAGAATTTTGTATGCGAATCTTAAAACTTCAGCAGTTTCAAGACACACACACACGGATTTTCGTTGATTGAAAAAGAAAATAAATTGCGCCTGACAGTCGCGTAAATACGGCAATTGTAGAATCCTTTTCTCGAACAACTCAACTCGGATTCAATGCCTCCAACCCAAGCCTATTATCGTAGTGAATACAAATCCAAGACTAGGAGCAAATCAAGGGCATACTGAATAATCTTTCTTCACGTCATCTCGGACACAGAGAAACACACATTGCAAGTTCCCACCGTCTTTTCAACACTGAAGCACATGCTGAGAGCGAACATACGTTCCGAAAGCACGTCATCGTTCTCCCTTGCTGCACACAGACAGACAGACATGCAAAAAAAATAAATTATATCACGCAAGAGGAAAAGGGAATCGGAAACGAAATGGACAAGGAGAGGAGAACAAGAAAAACGAAAGAAACACGGCGAGCGATTAATCGCAGTCCAACATCGGTTGCAATAATCCAGCACGGAGATCCTGCGGGAAATGACACACTCTGCACTCGGTCCTATATTCCTCTCTTTCTCCACACACACACACATATCCCCAAGTCTTTCTTATCCACGTGCGCCGCGTTGTTATCTGATCCTCTGTTTGCCTTCTCCGAACATGAACAGGAGCGTCCTGTCAATCAAGAACGCGCCCAAGAAGTCAGCCAGCAGCACACTCACCAGGACCCAGCGATACTGCAGGAAATTAAACAGGAAACGGTCACCATAACGGGATCATGAAAACGTCGTTTCTCAAATTAAAGTCAAACAGCAAATATTGAAAACGGAGAGAAACTGTTCAGGTAATCAGCGTTTCAAGCAGGTAACGGCACGATACTTTTTGCACATGGCCGGCCATTTCTTCAAAAAACTTGATACTTTTGTTCCTGTAAGTTCAAATAATTTTTCTAATTTGAAAAGAATCGAAATTGAAAAAAAGTTATTTTACTAAAAGAAAAAGAATTCTGGTCAATTTTTGCAAAATTTTTTTTCAAGGAAAACAGTGAAGTATGTGAAGTTAGTTCTCACATGCATTTGTATGAATGACAAATTTGTGAAAGCATTCTCTATAAAAATATAAAATCCAGGAGAAAATTGTTTCACAATTTCCATTTTGTGTCTTTCACCATTTCCTATTTTTTCAAAAATAAACGTTGGAAATATTTCATGTCACAAAGAAAAATAAGTGAAGTTGTTTCCAACATCCTGGCATAATTTTCAAATAATTTTTTGGAAAGAAAACACAGTCGATATGAAAATCTTCTTTTACAATTTTGTATTTTTGCAGCTCTCTCAATTTTATTCCGTCATTTCCTCGATAATTGAAACTCACCGGATCCGGAAATCGAACCATCATAAAGGAGTCGGAAAACTCGGGGATCAGGTTCAGGGCCACGGCAAAGATGAACGCAGAAGTGCCTCCAATGGCGTACAAAAGAGACCGATTCTCGCCCAAGCTTTCCATGAATGGATGCCCCTGCAAACATCATCGTCGTCAGATAGACACATATGTATACATACATACAAACCAGTCGTCAGGGAATTCAAGTCATGCGCAAAAAAGAGATGCAGTAAACAAACAAACACTCACCCGATAGTTGATGGCAAACGTTGCGACTTGAAGCGCCATCGAGATCACATACACAGTCGAGTTCAGCAAGTTTGGCTCAAACTCTTTCTCAAGATCCACAGCCTTCTCACTGAAAAAAAAAACGGGGAATGTTGGATTCATTCTTGTTTTTTTAGGCCTTTGGTAAACATTTGCCAATGGAATACCGCAACGGATACAAAAGTCACCTTTAAAATCAATTTCATCACTGGAGACCCTCACAATCAAGTTTTAGCGCTTATTTAAAAATTAAATTCAGCCTTTCCTGGCTTATTGTTTGCAAGCTTCATACTGTAGTTTCTTCAAGTCATTCATACACTTGGAGAATTTAGAAAATTTAAAGCCAAGTTCATTAATGTCATTGAACTACACTGCTCATAAGGCTTTCGTCATCGCCCTCAACTTCAGCTTAATCCATAAATAAAAGAATAAATCTCGCTCCTTTTCGAGAAAATTTCCCAATTTTGCAAGAAATATCAAACAAACAAAAAACGCTTGCCTTTCAGGCGTGTTGGCCAAGGCCTCCGTGACCAGGTAGACCAAGGCAAAGAAATGCACGAAAAACTGGCCCATGACCGTGAGCAGGGTGTACGGGTTGAAAATGTTGGGCAGAGGTCGCTGCTTGGACAAGGTCTTGAGGGGCTTCGACTTGGAGATGAAGAGGAAACACGCGGCCAACAAGAGGCCCTGGAATGTCGCCTGGCCGTCGCTAAACTTGACGCCCTTCAAGTACAGCACGGACTGGCTGTAGGCCAGGATCAACGCGTTCAGCGCCAGGATCTTGAACATTTGCAACGTCGTCACCAGCGTGCATCGCCCTTGCTTGATTATGTGCGACACTGAAAAACAGACGACGACGACGACGACAAATGAATAACAAAATTTGCCGCATCATTTCTCTAAAATTAAAAACGAAGAATATGTTTCAAGACACAGTACAGCACCTGTACTGTACAATAAATACACTTTTCCCTATACTGTACCTCCGTATCTTCATTAAAAAAAACAAATGCAATTTCCTTCAAGGTTCCATTATACATTTTTCAATTTGTTCCAGACACTTGCCAGAAGACCACAATAATCCAACTGCATACTTTTTCTAATTTACAGCATGCACTTTTGACTTTTACATTGAGTGCTGCAGTATAAAAATCTAGTGATCATGGCAAGTTTCTGTGCAGAAATTTTCTGATTTCACGAAGTTTTAGGAAAAACAATGCTCCGCTTCTGGAATTTTTTCTAGTTTTTTTTAATTCTGGAATTTTAATTCGAAGCTTTCAAAAATTCGATGTTTTCAGTCAACTACATTTGGACAATTTGAATTAAGGACACTTATTTTCCCATAAAAATTTACAAAAAAGGCCCCACATGAGGACACTGACTCAACATAAGGACATTTTGTGAAAAAATTGCAAATAAGTTTCAGGCCAAATTACAGGAAACAGATACCTTTCCAACCATAAAATTGATGTAAGAAAAAAGCTCTTGGGCATTTCTCTCACCGTTTTCTCATCCATTTTAGCTAATTAAAAAAAAATTACCTCCAGCATAGAGGGACTTCCTTCTCTCTTTTTCACTTGAATGCTATTTTTTTGTTACAGAGAATGCCAAAATTTGAATGCACTGTACAGAGGTCATCCATTTAGCTAATTAAAAAAAATTACCTCCAGCATAGAGGGACTTCCTTCTCTCTTTTTAAATTGAATGTTAATTTTACAGAGAATGCCAGCATTTCTGTATATAGAGGTATCAGTATTAAATTCCCCAAATGTCCATATTGTGTTGAAATATATTAATTGGAATCAGTTTAAATTGGGGAGACAATTCTTATTTTCATGGAATTATGGTGTTTTGACCATAAAACACCAATTAAAAATTACATAATGTAAGTCTAATGGAAAATGGGACTCGACTTAGGGACACTCTTGATGCACCAATTATGTCAGCATCTCGGGGTCTCACTGTATTCCGTCATGTGTGACATTTATTTTGCGCGAGTCACTTTTCCCCCTTGAAAATAACCATTGCCTGGTACTTCCTTTAAGTGGGGACTCGCTCAATTCGAAAATAAAAGATTTTCGCAGGTAATTAAACTTTTTGAGTAGAATAATTTAAAAAAAAATTCCGAAGTAGTTTTCTTGCACTAACACTATCATTTTTCAGCACATTTCATTTATTGACACAGCATATTTTTCACCCTCACCGTGAGGGCAATCATTTGAATTTCCGAATGATTTAGTAAAACCTGATCAATGAAGTTTTTCATCATTTAAAACCTGCATTATTTTAAATCATCAATCGGTTTCTGCGTCAAGCGCATAATCTTTCTTCTGTTACCCACTACAGAAATGAAAAAAAAATTGACCATTTTACAGGACTACTCTTGAAAAAAAATCAGATACAGAGACTATTTTCTTGGAATTTGCCAGAAAATGTTTCAGAACAACAGGTTTGCACAAAATCCCTCAAGGCCTCAAATTTATTGCCAATAAAATCTTTCCTTCTGCAGCTGGAAAAGGAGCGACAGTTGTCAAAGTCATCGGGTTGAACCTGAGACAGGTTCAAAAAAAAGAGGAGAAAAAAGATAGAGTTATAGTGGCGTGGTGTCGGCGTGAAACCCGAAACCCGAAGAAACATGTTTGTCAGGCTCGAAAACGATGCACCAACATCTGCTGGGGGTGACGCTGAAATCGCCGCCGGCAATTTGGCGCAAAAACACTTGTCGCGGACCGAAGAGAAGAAAACGAACAACAACAAAAAAAGTTTTTGGACAAAAGAGGAAATTTGGCTCAATTCTGAGAAGAAAAGAAAAAACGTGTTTTGCAGAAGACACACTTTTGCAACCGGAGCAGGCGAGTCGAGTGAAAACAACTTCGACCCCTTTTTGCGAAGCCGCCGACAAATTTTGGGGATGGAGGAGAAGTCGGGAAATTTGCGGACAAAGACCTTGGAATATACTCGAAGAAAAATCAAACTGGGAAAGAAGTTATTTCACGATACGATTCAACAAAAGTTGGCCGAACTTCCTTAAAACTGTTCAATACGAACAAAAAAAAAAACAAAACACGGAAAATGCTGACAATTGCATCGAATTAAAATCAAACGGTGCTTTCAAGAAGTTTTCGCCTACCTCGTCTAAATTTACCATCACAAAACGCTCATTCTTCACAAATAATTTACTCCGGTACTAAATACATCAATAAACTCAAATTGGGATGAAGCTCGTGCAAATCACTTTCACAGGTCTTGTTCTTTGAGTCATCTGAATTAGAAAACTTCAGCAGTCGTTTTACAATAATCATATTTTTTTTTACCGTGTTGAGCCTAATATTCACTGCATCAAGCAACAATTCTAAAATTTGTTTTTGAAACCTTATTTTTTGGCGGGAATTTCCTCAAACCTTAATTTAAAAAAACTCAACAATTAAATTATACATATTTTTGTTAAAAAAAAAACCAGGGCTCTTCGAAAATGTTTTTTTTTTTTATTCAAAGCTTAAGTTGAATCCCAGACACAGAAATCCAAAGATCACAGAGTCAATTCGCACGTGTGATTATGTTTCAATTTTCTCTGGGAATAGACACCACTATTCTCCAATAATCACGAAAAAAATGACACGGAGCCTGTGAATACATTTTTTCAATAATTTCAATTTTTAATTGAAATTCAAAGATTTAGCTGAACTTCATCTTTTTCCAGTGCATTTACAAAAAAGGCCAAAACTTTTTTTTTTCCAACCCCGCATTTACATGTCATCACGCTTTTCAAAAAGCATGAGACGTGAAATTTTAAAGATTTAAAGTTGCTTTCCAAGTTTTCATGTCACACAAACAATCACGACATGACGAAACATGCAGCTTTCGACGAGCTCCGCATCGTTCTTTATTCCTACGCTTTATGCCTATACAACAACGAGATTTGTGCAGAAACGTCCAATTATTTGTGTGGTAAGTACAGATGAAATTTGATATTCAAGTTTTTTATGATCTCATGATGCATAAAAAAGGTTACCCCCCCCCCGACACGACCGTACAACACAGTACTGTATATCGTAAAAAAATCAACAATTTTTGATAACTCAAACAAGCGGATACAATCATGTTATCATAATTAAATTGTGTTTTCCTTTTACATCTTCGCTCGCAATTCGCAAAAATAAATGCGAACAAGACCTAAAAGAATCGAACGAGGACTTACAATACTTCTAGCCCGCAAAAAAACTTCACAGATCGCGAAAAGAAGAAAAAAAAAAAGAACAACCCCTCCCCAATGTTGAGGGCCGACTATTTAAACCCCTCGAGGGTCTGACTTACGAATTAGTCCCTCGTTTCGGTTCGCAGCTCTCGGAAGCACTTCCTCCATCTCGGACACGAAAACAATTTGGCGGATTTCTGAACACAACCGTGATTGAAAAATCATATCGTGTTTATTTAACGCGGCTCGGTTCAGAGATTCGCTCGAGTTTTCACAACTCAACAAGTTTTTCGATTCGCAATCCTGAGGCGCGGCCGAAGATTCGTCGATTACTATAGAGAGAGATTCTCGTTTGAGTGGTAATCGTTGTTTCTTCGGCAGTGCCTCGGGCAAGCGGAAGCCAACATCCGGTGTCTGGATACGAACAGGAGCACACGAGGAAGACGCCGTCGCGGGATCAGCATCAAAACTCACTTTCTAGATCTGTTTCAGTGTGTCAGATCAAAGCGAGCTTTGGCGCCAAATCCCGCGAGGCAAATCTTCGATCAAAAAAACCCATGGTTTTTAAAATTTTTCTCTTGAAAATTCGAAGGAACGAATTTTTGCCTTGCTTTTGTGTGAAGGACATGAGCATTTTTTAAGGCACAATATGCGGAAACCAAATTCGTATATCATTGAAATATTTTCAAAAATATGAATGCTACTCTGCTTGAAGAGAAAATTTAGCATTGCAGCAAGTATGAGGCTCGAATATCTCTTGATTTTTTAAAAAGGAATTTTAAGAAAGGTAAGGTCTGAAATAAGATGCAGTAATTGTATTTTCGAGTTCTCTAATTTTCATTATAAGACGCTTATACTGTAGTAATATTTTCTCATTTCCCATAACGTTTCTCAAAGAACTAAGAATTTCATTAGTACACATTTTTTATCTGGTCTTCGAGAAGTTCGTTTCGAGGAGATTTTATTGGAATATGGGATTGTTTTCTCGGGATCACGCCAAAGTCTTCACTGTGGATCGTCTTCACAAATCGTGTACTGTATTTGTTGATTTCATTGTTCACGTAAAAATCGGAGGCATGGAATATTAGAAGGAAGAGCTCCTATATGAGACTAACCACACAAAACGGACGTCATTTTGGAGGTGAAGGGGGCAGCGATGGAGGCGTCGCCGAGTTTGACAAGCTGCGGTCCATCAGCTTCCTCAATCTCCTTCAACAAACGCTGCAGCTCCTCCTGGGTCCGGTTCCGCGCTTCCTGTCTCGCGCTCTGGCCCGTCGCTCCTCCTCCTGCTGCTGGCCCACCGACTCCAACTGCTGCCGCCCCGGAACGACGTCCCGCTCCTTCCAGCCTGCTTCTGCTACGACCGCCGCCTGGTGTAACATCTGAAAAAAAAAAACAATTGTCGGGGTGAGGGACATCATATTTTGAGGTCTGCTTTTCCGAAATTTTCCAAATCTTTCATTAAAAAAAAATATTGATTCTCATGTCGCGACTCATCCTTCAGTTGAATCTCGACAAACATTATCTTCCGAAAAATAGGCTTCTTCCAATTCCTTCGAACTAGAATTAGGTAAAACTGCTCTATACAACGATACCCCAGATGATCGACGTTTCAAAATCAGAAATACATTTTTCGCACATTTAAGGTCGGTCAGCCGTTAACTTCTGCTTCGGATAGTGGATTTCTAGTCCAAAAAAAAAAAATTCCCTGTTCAAATGAGAAATCTACCTCACGTAAAATGTTTCAAATTAAACAAAATGATGCTTTCGATTGTGCTGACAAATTTATTCGATAGGTTGCTCAACTATAATCGGGTAGTGAACTTCCAAACGGAATTCGCGAATAGGTCGACTATTACTATACTAATTGAAACTCACTCAATGCTCCAGATCCTCGCAATGCTGGCGGACCAGAAGCTCCACCTGTTCCTCGAGGAAGGGTTTCTTCCTGGCTTCCGTTCTCAATTCCGGATTTCTTGAATTTTTTTTTCAAATCCGGGATCCCGGATAAAATCGCCACGCCTATCATTTTGAAACAATAAAACGAAACAATGTACTTTTCGGAAAAATCAAGAAACGAAATAAAGCACTTTCCAGTACTTCTTCAAATTTATTCTTCAGTCAACTCACCCACGTGGGCATGCTTCAGAGCCCCGACGTCGTTCGTTCCGTCACCGCACATCAACGTGGTGAAGCCCAGTCGATTCAAAGTCGTCACCACAAACTCCTTTTGCTTCGGATTAAACCTAGCGAACACTTTCACATGCGGTAAAATCTTCCTGAGGAACTCGTGCTTCTCGTTCAATAAATACGCCAAACCCTGTCGACAAAAATCGAAAAATATTCATTCATACACACCTCGACATCAAATCGCACGAAGAATCAAAATCAATTCTTCTAAAAGAAATTACCGTAATAGTGAGCGGGTCAATGGGACTCTCGTTGCAAGTTCATTAACGCATTGTAAAAATTTACGGGCATTAAAAAAAAAGAAAAGTTCACCTGTCCGAATATTCTTCCGACACGCGGAAACAAATAGGCTGTAGATTTTGAGCACAAAGAGAAGCAATCTCATAAGATGTAAAAAGAGAAAGAAAAAAAAAAACTGAGAATTTACCTCCCCAGTGATGCACAGATCATGTGTTCCAAAAAGCTCTTTGGAAATGTCACCAGATGGCACTACTTGCACAGCTTTGGACTGGTCAACCGACTGCCACTGCCATTCAGAGTCGCCGGTTTTCGTCAACACTAACGTACACGTCTTTCGAGAGAACCGCAGTTCTCTGGCAACGTGGCAAGCGGTCAACGGGTTGTCACCGGTGATCATGCAGACCTAGAAAAAAAAAAAAACGTACTGTACATGAAAAAAGTGACATCGGTCACAAAAAAAAAGGAATTTAAAGAGAAAACAATGACTCGTGTCATTTATACTTGATTAAAAAATTACAAATGCTCTCGAACGAGATAAAATTATCTTGAAATTTGCGGAATAAAATCATCTTCATCAAGCTGAACATTACTTTCTGCTTGGAGTACTGTACAGTAGTTCGCTTTTAAAATTAACAGGCAAAAGCAACAATACTTATCGTCGATCAGTGACGAAATGAAAAAAAATAAAAAAGTTAAAGCTTATACAATTACCAGTACAAAATGGCTTTTCGTAAACTCACCGCATGCGAGGAAACTAGTATGTCCTTGATGTTCGCTTTCGAGTCGGGTTTCAAGGGACACGAAATGATGAGAAATCCGCGGAACTCTATTTCAGATTCGGCAGTTTCTCGCGCCATCTCTCGAACCTTCGGATTAAAACACCAAAAGCACAATCATCAACCAAGTCAACAGCCAATTTCTCAAAAGCACACAACCTCAGCAGATGTCAACACGCCGAGGTTCTTCCGCCCCAAGGCCAAAACTCGCGCACCTCGTCTCGCATGCTCCAGATACACTTCGTCGTAGTCGGCTGGCGGATTCAAAAACTACAACACAAAATACGATATTACGAAACATTTTAAAACCAGCACAGCACTGTATTTCCAAGACGAAAATGCCGAGCACGCACCATTGGCTTCAAGATTTCGGGAGCTCCCTTTGTAACAGAAATGAAGTGGATCGAGGGCGTTTCTTGGTAACCGGCAATGACAGTCATGCGCTTCAACGCAGATGTAAAATGAAACCTGTGATAGATTTTCATGCCTGGGGCTTTTCCTTTCTTTGGCACTACCACATCACCTGAAAAAAATATAAATTGTCCTTGTAGAATCTCGCAATTTTCAGAAGTGGGGAACAATTGCACAGATTTTATCGCTAAAAAAAACCAGGACGTTTTCCAAAAATCCAGCAACCCAAGTTAAATAAATTACGGAAAGCAGAAGATCGATCTGAGGAAACTTAAAATTATTTCTTCATTCCCTCATTCAAGCAATCTCGATCAAGCTGATGAATATAAAATTGGTTGAAATTACAAAAATTGAATTTTACTGCACAGAATGAATGCATGTGTTCCAAGTCAACCCAGTGGTACAGTATCAAAAATGATAATGAATGAAATAATTCATGAAAATTTGGAATTAAAAACATTTTAAATAATTGAGCAAAGGTTGCAGAATTCGACGTGTTCCCTGATTCAAGATGGCTGTTCCAGAAGTTTTCATCAGGATAAATCCATAATCATACCTGGGAAATGAGAAAGAAAATTCCTCCAAAGCGGCCAACAAACATTTTTAAAAACTGCAGCCAGAAGAAGCAAGTATTTAAAATTAGCTAAAAACTTTATAAAACCTTAAACGAAGGGTTCTCAAAGAGGGATTTTCATGAGGTCTAAAAAAATGGTGGAAAACACTCTCGTTAAAAGACAGAAGACAATTTGACATTTAAATTACCCTTTGCCACGTTCCAGTCGATCGCATTTATGGCGGCTTTCTCCAGGGGGTCTCCCACCAGAGCATCGTTCTCCGACTCGAGAGTGACCAACGAGTGACAGGCTGCCATGACTTGCACCGTCTCCAGGGGCAAGTCACTCACCTGCGTCAAACTTCGGGATTCTACACTCACCTTCTCAACATCTGTTTGGTCAGCTGCATTCGCGCGACCACTGAAAAAATAAAAATCAAAACGCGTGCTCAATTCGTCGTAAACTACTGTAAAATATTACAGGTATACTGTACTGTATTAGCTTGTATTCTATTCAACCACCAATCTTTTCAGTAATCCCAGAAAATTCAACATTTTTGTCAAGTAATTTTTACTCAGAGTTTCTTGAAATTTCAAGTACAGATCGCATATTTAATTTTGCTTCGATCGTTTCATCCATTTTTCTTCATAAGCACCGTTACTAAAACCAGCATCGAATGCTAGAAATTTGTCGTGCTCTAGAGCCATTTTTACGCACATAATAAAGGGTTTTCGTCAGCATAAGAGCAAACCCAGTACTGTAGTAGAAAATAATTCTGAACAGGTATTCGGCAAACAGACAAAACACAGAAATTGAATTCAACGGCAAAAAAAATTCCGAGGAAAAACTCACTTTAGACCAGCAATCCCTTCGACTACGAGATTATCAGAAGTCAATGTCCCAGTCTTGTCAAAGCAACAAATGTCAACCTTGCCGGCGAACGGGATTCGAAACGGTTCGGTGCAGAAAACACCTGCAATAAAAAAAATCATTAACAAACTAGTTTTTGAAAATGAAAACGGAGAAATGGATGCTCACTCAGTTTTGTCAAGGCTATCAACGAGGAATTCACCGCCAACGACAACTCAATGGGCAATTCCGGAGGAACCACAGAAGTCAAAATGAACACACACTCCAAGAACAGCTTGTATCGATTTCGATTCGGATCTTCCGAGCCTGCAAAATTGCGAAGGAAAATTAGATTACTGCACTGTTCTTATACAGTATCACGAATAATCCCTTCAAGAAAAAAAACCCCTAAACGTTCAAAATTATGAATAACATTTTGTTTCATCCATCACCGCCTAAAGTATATGTTCTACGAACTTCACTTGAACTTGGAATAAATGCATCCCAAGGACGAAGTTCGTATACCGTAAATTCAACGCACAGCATTTGCGAAGCAACCCTTCATTCTTAAATTACAAGTTATACAATTACTGAGCGTTCCCAAATTGACCAACTCATTGACAACTTTTTTTAGAGTGGGTAGATGTCACCGCTATGCAAAATATCACTTCAACGTTACATCAGGTAATTCCAATTTTTCACCCGCCTCGACATTTCCGTTTCCGTACCAGCACGGAAACGGAATATGCATACATATCATATTGTTTTATAAGATGATACGGACGAATTATCCATGAAAATTTCTACATTTTTGAAATTTCCGAAACCCACTAAAATTTAATTTTTTGGGGTTTGTCAGGCAAGATAACACGTGCAGAATAAAATTGAAATTTTTCAAGAGAATTTTCATACGAAAGAGAAATTATGCTCAAATTATTACTGCCTTCCACTCGCTGGAAAATACTGTACTGAACACGTTGATAATAGTGTACTAATACCGTACATCCTCTCGCTCTCACCTTTGATCCAGAGGTAAGACGCGGCAGCAATCGCGAAGATCAAAAGAAATAAAATGAAGAAGGCCGTTTCTTTAGTATTCGCAGTAACACGCTTCACGCCGAACAAAATCGTACGCAGCAATTTCCCTTGCGACGTGTTGAAACCGGTTCGGAGCACGTAGCCAATGCACGTATTTTGCGTGGGACCTGCATTAAAAAAACAAAACAAAAAACAGAACAAAACACTCATCCCAAGTCTAAAAGTGAAAAATTGAATGGTTGACGTGAAAGCACACCTCGCAGTCCAGTATTGGCAGTCGGAGCTGTGTGCTGGACAATCTTTGTACCGCCAGCAACTACGTGCAGTTTTCCGTGAAGATCCATGTCCAAGAAGTCTTCAGCTTCAACCGAATCGATAGATTCCTTCATTTGCGGCACACTTTCACCTTGAACGCAAGCAGAAAAGCGTCAGGGATGATTCTCGCCAACTGCGAGTAGAATATTGTACCAGTCAGCGTGCTTTCATCGACTATACACTGCCCACGGAGCAGCAGAATGTCGCAAGGCACCAAGCTCTGGCTGCGATTCAAAGAAACAATGTCCCCGGGCACCAGCTGATCACTCGAGATCGGCTTCCATCTTCCTTTACGGTACACCTGCAAACCCAATCAAGTCACAGCAATCCCCAATGAAATACAGTATGAATTCAAAAAGGTAACACATCAATTAAAATCATGGGGGTTTCTTTGTAAAAAAGACGATTGCCACATACAGTATTATGAAAATGAACATGTTGTCAGGAATTTTAAATCATTCGAATGTCATCAAGTATCGTAACATTTTTTCATTGCTCTTTGAACCGAGACTGAAAATCCTGCGAAGTAACCAAGAACTCTAGATAAATTAATCGGTTTTCAGACTGAAATTTTCCAAAAAAAATGAAGCCGGAGAATATCAAACTAAAGAAGCTACGTCTTGAAATTTGAAACCATTGAGAAGATAATTGGCTAATCTTCAACGTGAAAAATGCATCAAAGTTTGAACTCAATACAGCATCTCATTGATTATATCACAAAAGGAAAAAAAAAACCAACTTGAATCATATAAGGCTGGTTTCCCATTTTTCTGATTTCCGCCATGTTTCGAATTTGCTGCTGCACCAAAGTGTATTCGAAAGTGACCAGCATGAATAGGGTGAACATTGAGTAGTACCAGTACTCATCCAAACACCACAGCCCAACACAGAATACCTTAAAGAAAAAATGCAGCATCGAATACAAGTTTATAAATTTAAAAATAATATAATCTTGGAATGCATGCATTGCAATTTATTCATTCCATTCTTTTTGTTTTGCGAATAAAGAAAAAAATGTACCTGGAAAACGAAGAACGGCGCCGTTGCTCGTTCAATAAAAAGCTCTAAAAATTCCGGAATGACCATCTCCAACCTGAAAATACGGCTCTTATGAAAAAAAGAATCTTCAATCAGAGGATTCAAGGAACACTCACTCATTACGTCCGTAATGATCTTCGGCACTTTGCAAAGCTTCGTCAGTTTCATGGCCTCGCCATGAATTATAAAAGCCGAAGGAATGATCGACCGGAAATGATAATCCACGGAAGTACCTTTTGTCTTCGTCGTACAAATACTTTGTTTTTTGGAACACGAACCACGTGGACTTGGCTGACGGGGATTCGTCCAAACCCTGCAGAAAATCACAATTTTCACACTGATTCACTCGAAAAAATTCCCTCGCCATTTTAATGCCTTCCACACAGAAAAAAATCTCGTTGTTACGAAGTCATTGGGACCAGCAAAATGACTTCATTATGAAAAAAAAATTCGTTACACTCGAATTAAAAAAAATTGTATTGATTGGACAGGGACCTAATTCGATTACGTTGTAATCGAATTATTCGTTATAACGATATTTTTCTGCATTACCTTTGTCGAAGAGCGACACAGCTTCACAATTTCTGCTGATCCGTTATTCGCGGTTGGCGAGACGACTGCGAAAGCAGCTTTGTCCACATCATCCTCCTGAGAAAATGATCAAGAAAGAAATGTGGAAAATCATCAAAAGAAAAAAAATTAAGTATCAAAATAAAAAATTGCAACTACTGTATTAAAAGAAAAAAATCAAAAGAAAAAATCAGATGATCAAAATACAAAATTCACACTTTCAAAAGAAACTTGCTACATTTATTCAGGCCTTCTAAATTTCTCAACCACTGGCGAGAAATTCAAGGACAAAAACAAGCAAAAAAGATAATAGGAATGGAAAATGCACAAGATGTTACGCCATCTGTAACACGATAGCGTTCAAGTTTAAATGTTGTAAACTGAAACCATAGAAGACAATAACCTAAAAATTGAGGATGCACGATTGAGATCAGTGCAAAATGGACAAAACTCTTTCGTTTCCACTATTTTAAAAACATGAAATCCTAAATTTCAACGGGAAAAGGAGACTGGACCCTTTCAATCGATAAAACCCCGAATGCCAAAAAAAATCCGTTGGATTTCTTGAACGCTTTAAAGTTGAATTCCTTCAAAAATTCTGGGACTTCACAACAATCTTATCAGAATGAATGACAGTTCAATACTTGAAAGGTGCGTAAGAATGAAAAAAAAAAAAGAAAAACCGGGGTTTTCTTCTAAATCTGACATCACGTTACGCATGAGAAAATACAGTAAAATTTTACTAAAGCAAACTTTCAGTACAGTATAAAAATACTTTTTCTCAAGTCCCTAAACGTGTGTTGTAACGAGATTTTGTTGCGTTTACAGTATTTTCTATAGAGGAATGAAACCGGACTACGTCTGTCTCTTTCACCGAATAATTGTTTTCAATTATTCGGTGATATATATATTTTTTTTGAGGCATTGAAAACAATCAATCAAAAATCGGTAGAGCCAAAACCCCCGGACCCACCTTCTTGAGCGTGAGCGCACTTCGCACCCGCACAGACCAGAAGCAAAAGAGCCCCGTGAGGGCCTGCAGGAGCAAGAGGGCCACGCCGGTAATGGCGCCCAACTCAAAGTTCTGCAGGTCGTTGACCCAGACAAAGGTGAACAACCAGCCGCTGTAGAGGAACACGAAGGGGAAGCAGTAGCCGTGCAACATCCAGTGCTTCTCGCGAAACAGCGCGACAGACGTCACCAACTCGTCTCCCACCGGCGACAACATTTTTCTACTTATTTTTCTTTCAACACTCCGTCGCCCTTTTTGTTCGAACCGATCTGACTAAGCGAAGGTCTCGGGAGAAGAAAGAAAACGGGGGAGGGGGAGAGACTCGAGAAACGTAAGACCCACTTTCGCGAAGGGCCTTCACTGTCCTGTTGGTGGGGGGAAAAAAATAGAAACACGATATATGGAAATTTTCATCAGGCATCTCACAACCGAAGTCACACAAACTTTTACCTCGCTCATTTCAGAGAAACACCACGACAAATTATGCTGTACTCATTTTCACAATCATCTTCTTGACGTCTGGAGGTAACATCAAAAATAAATACCGGTACGTCATTTCCAAGCTGAACTACGACCACAAAGGAAAAAATAAATAACGGTTCTTCAAAATTGTACTAAATCCTATTTTCATCTTTAATTTTTAACTTTCGAGACTTCATAAAATTAATCAACTAAAAAACCGGAATTTATTTTGAAAAACAAAAAATTTCTACACGAGTTGCTATTTTTCAATGGGCCAGAAGGCCACACCGGTTCAACTACACCTGCAGAAGTTATACTCAGAAAAGTCACATTTGCACCCGTAAAATAAAATTCCATACGACTTTTTCTTTCGCGGTATCAAGTTCTCAACTCCAATTCAGATAACCCTTTTTGGTAAAATTGATCCATCAAATTTGTGCACAACAAAAAAATCACGCAAAGCAAAAAAAAAAAATGAAGAAACTCGCCATGAATCATCACAACAGGCTGCAAGCTCTTTTGTTCATCACTGTGAACCCAAGAAATATGCGAAAGGTTCCGTTAACAAGATCTCGTTTCAAGATTTGATTACGACGACGAAACTTTCGCTAAATCAACAAGTGCACTCGAAAAAAAAAAAATCGTGCTCACACCGCCAAACAATATTTGATTCCTTCCTTCATGCACTGAGTTCATGTGATCAACTTCGTGAGGAAAAGGTAGGACGACACTAGAGAAAAGTACTATATTCAGGCAAAAATAGGTCAATTTTAGCCCACAGGATTGTACAAAAATCTGGATTGTACAAAAATTTGCACTCATTCGAGTGGAATCCCAACTTATCACCTTAATGAAACTTTTCCTCGATCTTGAATACTCCACTATGAATAAATAAAATGCAAAATTTTAGCGCACACGTGAAAAAAAAGCGTCCAGTAAGTAATTCTACCAATATTATCGTTCAAAGTGTGTCTTATAATTGATGTCTTAAATTTGCGTGAATACGATAGCATCCAGGTGATGAATTTTGCAGCGCAAAATCAAAATGCCCTTCGAATCCTAGCTATTCTGCTCTCAGTGCATGAAGTAAACCTTTGCTCGAACTCGTATCATAAAACAGGCTTCTGTCCCCCTCCACAAACAAAAACACGGCTTTCGCAAATTCCAAAGTATAACTTCGTTGTTCGCATCCCGGGTCCCCTTCAAAATAACGCAAACGGTATCACCTCCCTGGGGCGATGAGAACTGCCTCGTCGGACAGGTTTTCATCACGAAACTGGTGGCATAAAATGGCCTTCATTCGTTCTTGCGCTACATCCAACGATTTTTGGAGCGCCCAAGAAGACTTGTAAAAGTCGAAAGCCAGGTTGTACGCTTTCTGCGATGAAGAAATAAAATTCAATATCAATTCAGTAGACAAAAACAGACTTCGTTTCTTTTCTAACATGCGATCTATCGATATCATCAGTTACACCTAAACCCAACATAGGAGATGTAGCTTAGAAAGTTCTAACAGGCATTGAATGGCGAGAAAACCGAGTCAAATGAATGCATCGCAGAGACAAAAAGTTCTTTCGATATTAAATTGCCTTAAGATCGAGAATTCTTGAAATTTCATAAAAAAAAAATTACCATGCATTTTGAAGTGGATTGAGTCAAGTCAGGAAATTTGAAAGCAGTTAAATTCTGCAACAATTTAAGCGTCATTCTGTTCGTAGACCTTATTTTGAAATTTACGAAATATGCAACCCAAAAATCCTAAAAATCAGGGTACGATTTAACCTCGGCTGGTTCAAAATTTCTTCGGATTATAACGTTGTTATACGTAATCCAATAATCAAACCTTTCCTGAATGCTATATCACACACCACAGCAAAGATTTGTAACCCGAAGGTCTCTTTTTTTTACCATTTGAACATAAATATTCGCCATCGTGAAGTGAATGGGCACCGACGAGGGCGACACACCCAACGCCATATTGGCAACAATGAGGGAATCGTTGTGCAGGTTTGACCTAAAAAAAAAAGAAAACAACCTTTGTTCAATTCATCGAACCTCAGGAAAAAGCAAATTTTGAAATGCCTCACCGATGCAGGACATTGGCCAAGGATATGAGCGGCATGTCTCGGAATCGCCAGGGGGCGTGATGAAGAGAGATCCGCAAGCAGTTCACTGCTTTCGGCGCATCTCCAACGACTCGCCAGTAAAGCGAAGCGATTGTTGTAACGATCCATGAATGTGGATCCTTGGAAACGAAGAAATCAGGAAAAAAGAATCAAAAATACAGCACAGTACAGCTCAATCCTGCTTAAATTCGAAACGCATTTCTGCTCGGATATGTACAGTACCTTATGAAGAGCCGCGGCAATTCGACGTCCCACGGAGGACACTTCAGCCTCGACACCTCTGTTGTTACTCGAGTAATTCTCAATCCACGCAGACTCTTGCGAAGACTCCCCATTGGCGGCTCCAATATTCAACAAAGCTTCAGACAACCCCAACTCTTGCGGCTGTTTCAGAAGATTTCTGAAAAAAAAAAACACGCCCAGAGAAAGAAAAACTTTGAATTAAAAATGCAAACGGATTCAAAAATCAAATAAGGAAGGATTTCTGACGAAAAACGGAAACTAGAAAGTTCAGCGCAGCCCAGAACTTCGGGCATCGAAAGCAACAAAAAACGCTTGAGCAAATCATATTTAAAATTTTCAAAACAATACTTCTGCACAGCAAGGAGTTAATTGTTGATTAAAAAACATTTGCTCCAAAGAAAACGGAAGCATCTGTACTTTTTCTCGACTCTTACATTTTTCTAAGCAATTCCTGCAAAGATTTGTAAGGGTGGACATTCCAAAATTGCTTAAAATTTTTAAATCACTAGAGGGTTTCTCAAACATACAAACCCCTTCAACATAAATTTTGCTGGGTTAATTTTTTCATCTAACTAAATCCTCACACTAGCCTTCTTTCCGAATATTTTTATCCGGTCTAGTTTTAGAAACCAAGTGTATCATCTAGGACATGCCATTATTTCCGGTACCAAGAATTAGAAAGAAGAGAAACAAACCTGTGCCTTACGCCAGATAAATGGTCCAAGGTTAACATGGATACCAGAAAATCTGGATCACACGTCGGGTGCTCCGGGGAAGCATCGACAATTTCTTCCGGCCTGGGGATATGGTCCTTGAAACTGATGAAAAAGAAAATAAAAAATCCTGTAATATCTTGGTGAAATAATTTCTCTTCCTGTAGAGACTGCCAATTTACATTTCATATTTCACGACTAAAATTCGTGGTTTCTGAATTTCTGATGAGTATCTAAAAAGTTACAGCCCAGTGGAACAGTCCCTCTTCTCGCGAGTTTCAGATAATGCACACACAAGAGCATCCAAGGAGATAAAAGGGGACGATTTCAAGCATGAACAAGGAAAAACAATCAATGTCCGCCTTATTTTTCAAATTTTTTCACGAAGGAACCGAATCAATTCTGGTACGGTACAGTAGAAATGCTTGAGGGGCACATAGAATTACTTCAAAAGTCGGAATTGACTCAATTAAAATTAAACTTAGAGTAAACTTAAAATTGTATTTTGATTACCATTGCGATCACCACCAAAATCTATCATTGTAATGGAAAAGAAGGAATATTTTTACAGTACAGTACATTGTAAAAATTACGAATTCTTCCCCGCACAGAAATTGTTTTGATCTAATTTTTATTTTTTGTTCGGCAACATTCACAAACTTCCACCGAATCCACATCCAAAAATACAACAAAAAACTTACTCAATTTCTTTGTCACGTGCACTGAGCCACGTGGAGACAAACGCATTCTGACCATGAAGCATGGATTTCGGATGGTCAATTTGCATGGCTGGAGTATCACAATCCAGGGGATTCAATGCAACACGGGGTAACGGCTCTTTTTCCCCACGCAAACGCGCCATCGCAGGTCTGGACAGCAGCAACTCGGGAACCGCGTCATCCAAAAAGTCACTTGTTTCGACAGTCTCGCATTGATCTTCAAACAAAAAAAAAAAAATTTAATATTATACTGTACTGTAAATATTAAATTAATAAAATATTAGTAAAATTCAAGCGAAAAAGAAAAGCAGTTGAATCCGGAACACATACTTGAAATCATCATATATTGTATCTATGGAAATTTAACTCGATGAAACTAATACAAATCACAACGTTGTTTCCAATGCAGTATGTTGATTTTTTAAAATACAGCATATATAAATGCAAATAATTTGGTAAAGAAGAAATTATTTTTTTAAAGTCTATAAATAAGATTCAGTCCACAAACCAAGGCTCTCCAATGATGCGTCTTCAGGGTCATCGTATCCTTGCACCTCGTCCGCAATAATCTGCAGAAAAAAAACCAAAAAACTCACGTTGAAATCAATGCGAACAGAAACGTGTGAACATTCTCTACCTGTTTAAGCATTGGTGTCGGAACTGGACCAACAGCTGCGAACTGAAGGTTGCCTCGCTTGGTCCACAAATTATGTGCTGCAGAAATTTCCCGCAGGATTTTCGGACTGTGGGCCACACTGCAAGCTTGCAGTTTACTGCTCGACGAAAACAGGCTTCCTAATTGGCCCGGCATCGCACCGAAATCCCATTCGCCTACGATTTAATAAAAAGAAAAGCAACTAATACACTCCATTGCAAAATACTGTACAATACAGTAATGTACTCGTAAAATTATTATAGATCGTCATCAAAGAAAAGCTACTTTAAAAAATAACAAATTACTTTTTTTTTCATACAGAACGTTCATTCACAGAAGGGTCGTTCTTCAAGCGTCTCGAAAATTTTGAAAAAGATACAGGCGACATCTAGACAATGGGAAAGATTATCCATAGAAGCCCGGAAACATTCACAACTGGCATATTTTCACCAGTCTTTTGTCTCCCAATAAATTATCAACGCTAATCAGCCGAAGTTTAAAAGACACGAATATTCGACTTTCAGATATATTCCCAATTAATACAGTACTGTATAATAAATATGTAGTGATAAAAATCTCTCGTCACGTGATAAAACAGGTGCTGAAAATACAAAAGCAAGGGTTTCATCCAACCTCGAGGAGAATTTGTGAAATATTTTACGGGACTTTCGTGAAGCTTATGACATCAAGGATCTTGATGCTGTACGTGCTTCGCGGATCCCCAAGGGATCCTTATAAACTTTAAAGGGCCTCCACAGACGGTCAAAGAGTATTGAAGGGAAATTTGGACTTGGTTTCAGATGAAGAAGTACGGTTTACAAATAATTAGCAAGAACTCGTGTGTCCGTATTTCAAGATACAGTATGAAATTTCTTCATTGTAAACATTCATTTCGATTTATTCAAAAAATTACTCCTCACGTCATTAAAAGAAAAAAATTGATCAACTCTGCTACATGTGGACTCTCTATACAACGATTTTGTCGAATACGAATACTTTGGTGATATCTCTTGAACAAATGGAGTTACTTACATTCATAAGAATTAAAAATAAATAGTATTTCAAATTTCCTCCAATTCATCCCGAAAACAGACTGATTTCATATTTCTTTTTTTTAGAGTTGTTTTCCATAATTTCCGCACAGTGCAGCTAGACTTGTTGTGCAGCTAGATCTGTGTTTTTTGAGCTCAGTCTGATTTAAAAACATCGGGTTCTGTGCAATTTTCTTTTGCAGTTTTTTTCTGTACCTTGAAGTCGAGAGAAAAAATTACTCCATTTTTGGGGACTTGATTCCTAATTTTTGATGATGTGGAGAACCAATTATCGAAGTCAATGGTAACCAGTCCTACATGCGGACGTTCCAACATCAGGACAAGGTCCAAGCACTAATTACGTCCGCATTTCGGGGCCCACCTGCATAAAATTCACCATACTCAAGTCCCAACAAAACTCACCATTGGGCTTTTTCGCGGCGGCAAAACACGAGATGGCGACACCACAGGGATGCTGCGGCAACTTGGGATCCACAAGCGCGCACAAAATCGTCTCTCTCGAAGACTCGTCGTTCAGGAGGCGACACGGCATTCTGAGCCAATCCACGCTATTCTCAAAAGACTTCCCTGTGATTCGCGGTGGTTGCTGAGCGTCGCACAAGGGCGAATTTTCCCCGGGTTTGCAAGACGAAAAGATTCTCGCAAACGATACCGTGATTGGCTCCAATTCTTCACAGCTACTCATCTTACTAAACACAAAAACGAAGGGGGGGGGGGGGAACGTTCGTGATTCGCATTCACTCCAAATTTTTCGCGAAAACATAGACTATAATGAAAGCTTCAGATAGACGAAAGCGTTTGAAAAATGATTCAGAACTTTAATAAAGTCAACCTCTTCCCTTTGAAGCTGCTTCAATATGACAAGAATAATCAAATGAAGGGCCAGTAACCAAGGAACGATACCATTAAATACTTTTTGGCACTGCATACTGTAATTTTCAAGTACTGTAGTTAAAAATCCCAACCAACACAGAAAAAAAGCTGATAATTTACACGACATAATTCTCCCGATTAAAAAAAGTTGAAAAAAAAGCGTGTCTTACAAGTTAGTTACAAGCGCGGGCGAATTTATTTTTACTATTCAGGGACATTCTACAATTATGACATTTTCAATTCGAGTACTGTATATACGTTGAAATACTGTCCATCGTTTTTTGGACATGAAGGAAATAAAATTGCGTTACGTTTCAAAGGAGGAACACGAAGCTTTCGTGAATCCGACGTTCGTGGTTTCCTCTGGAGGCGCCGTGAGTTTAACGGCATTCCCGTAGCGACAATACGTCGACACAAACGACTGCCAAATTTCATTGTCGACCGGGTTCATCAACACGGCCTCACGCAAATGCATAATCCCTCCGGACCAGTTCCCCGTGCCCACCAGCAATTTACCAAGCAGGACATTGGCTGCTACCTAAAATAAAAGATTACATTTTATTGTTGACGTCGGGATACAAAGTCGGTCTCTCAGAAAACGCCATTAGAAAACATAATTCATTTTTCCCTCATTACTACTTCATATATCGCTAATGTAAGTATTACATTATTAGGAGTGTTTTGCTCACGAGCTGCATAAATGCTCTGGCAATCCCAATCTCTTCTTAATGGAGATATTATGGTATTCCTTGACTTTTAAACCGGTCCGCAGAAGTATTTTCCCGGTCCGGAGGAATTTTCTTCAGCACAATACATTTATATAAATTAGAAATGAAATCTGTTAGCTTTATCTGAAAAGACAATGGCTGTCGAGATAAACTGATGCTAATTAAAAGTTGGTTTTTCTCCTAATAACACTTCAGAAATGTTCACCTGCTGAAGGATATTATTTTGAGATTTCATCATGAGAAACCTTTCCTGAAGCCCAGCTTTCTATTTCTTAGAGGCATTTTACTATAGCTGCTTCATTGGTTCTCAACTTAATTTTTGCAAAAACAAAAGAAGCAGAAACTATTTAAATAAGGTACCCGCCATAAAGTCTTGCAAATAAACATTTTCTGAGTCTACAAAAATGTTGATGAAAAATTGCCGGTCCTCAGATTTTTTTTTGGAAATTCGCTGGTCCGCAAAAAAATTTATGAAAATTTGCCGGTCCGCGGGCCCAAAAGCATTGGGGAACACTGCTTCACACCATCCACATCCAAGACCATGCAATTTTTTTTTTTATTATTTACAATAGAAAACACACTAACACAGCTAGAAACAATAACCGGCATTCCATCCAGCAATGCGAGAATACCGGACATAGATCACGAGAAAGATGATAAATTTCGAAAAATAAAAAAAGAAATATCAAAACACTTGCGTTTTTCGGGTCCACGGAATGCACGTATTTGAGCAGTTTAATGGCGTCGTCCACGTTGCCCAACTTGTGCACGACAGCGGCAAGGTTCAACACGGGGACAGAGCGGTAAATGACGTGGGTTTCGGTGTTGGGCCCGTCCTCCTCATCGGCGGCCCTGAAGGCCCTCAGGAAGCAGACCATGGCCTCGTTCGGCTTCCCCTCGAGCCGCCAGTACAAGCCCGCCGCGTTGTACACTGGCCACACCGGACGGCTTCGCTGCAATTCAACAGCCCCGGCATTAAGTCGTTTCACTTTCACTGCCTGCATATAATTTGCATTCATCCCAGGTCCGATATACAGTAGTGAACAAGCGGGGAAAAAAGAATAAGTCCTGGAGATGCACCAACTTTTCGAAGCCGTATGAAAAACCCGCGTAGTACAGCCTTGTTAGTAAGCATGCTTCAGGAATTGATGATCATTTCGCTCATCAACACGACTACTTTCAAGTATCGTACAACTTCTCCCAATTCCTTCTATCCACAACAAAAACACTGAACAGCCAATCTTTAAAAAATCAAATCAATATACCGTGCGTGGATTTTAAACGAATATAGCAAAAAGTCTCTTTCGAGTAAAAAACGCACTGTATTTTCTGCGATCATCATGGTTTCCTCGATTCGGTGCCCAAGTTCATAAATGGACTTCGATGGCCCTGCTAAGGCAAGCAGCTGCTTCCTCAATTCAGGAATGTCTTCGATCAACTGAGTATATTTCGCCAGGTCAGAAACAGACTGCACCGTCGAGAAAGGAATCTTTTCCTACCCGGTAAAAAAAAAAGATCAAGTTAAAACAAAAGTAGAATGCAGCAAAATAAAATCTCACGTCGGGCTTAAATTCATTGCACAATGGCGGCATCCAAGGAAGAGGCATATCTTTCTCTGTGTTTGTCAGCAGGATGTCCTCGAAGTAGGTTGAGAGGCTGCGTAAAATCAATAAATGTCGTAATCGCAGATATTTTCTCGAGTTAAATTGTTTTTCGTAACCCTAATAAAAAACATGGAGGGTTCACGATTTCAGCAAAAAATATGTCGATCTTTGCTACCTAATACTGCAGTACCTAAAAATATTCCGTGTCCCACAAAGACAAAACATCGAGGCATTTTTTAAAGTTATAACACGTCATTTATTGCACACACAAATGTCCAGTCATTAGTTTTAATTTTAAACGAAGTCATCTCTAGTATTGTCGGCTGTGTTGCATATGCACTGTCACAGTTATTCATTGAAGATTAACAAAGAGTTCCAGGTGGAATTTAGAAAAAATATATCACGCCTTCAATTCAAGGTTTTTTCTCGCTTAATAAATCTCTACGAATATTCAAAACATGACAGTAAACGAAAAGTAAGATGCAGAAAAACAAAGAGTTATCTTTTTTTGGGGGGGACACCGCATACAATTTGGCAGTGAAACTCACTTGAAGCCTTTATCCTGCCCCAAAGCAAAAACTCCAACAGGATCTCGCCAATGAGGCGCAGGCTGTCCGTTATACAACGAACATTCCGTGTCTATCGGCAAATTCATTCTCGCTCGTCTCTCAGCCACAACGTCAGCATCACCCTCACTATGATTGATCTTGATGAACTCGGCATCAAACGCTTCGGCCACCGTGTTTTTCGCCTTTGGCTGCTCAATCAAAATCGGCAGCATTCTCTTGGAGGGATCCGACTGCTTCTTAAGGTTTTTATCCACGTTGGCTCGGAGCCACTCGAGTTCGTCAAGTGCACTGTGGATCCCGGTTGGAGTCAACGAGTCGTCCGAGACAAATGCTGAGATTTCTTCTCCGTCGATGTAGAACGTCTTCCGACGAACGTTGCAGCTGAGAAACACTTGTCCTTGGCTATGATACTGAAAGCAGTCATGACCTGAATAAACCCAAGCGACCCCAATTCATCAATGGGAATAACCACGATAAAAAAAGACCTCATTCTGAAATTTAAGCTGAAGACGAGACAAATGTCTTCAGCTTAAATGGAAGACAAAAAAAACCCCTCATTTCACCTTTGTTTCGTGCTTTTTTCTTTTTTTAAATCTGGAAGACTCCCACTTCTTTCAACACGAAATCGAACCAACATGGCGAAGCCCGGAAGTTTCATGAGGGGAAAAGTATGAATTAGGACCTCGAGCAACGAACATTTTACAAAACGAACCTCGTCAACTAGAAAAACAAGAAAAATCGGGGAAATACATTTTTTCTCTAAAAATGCTAAAATATTATGAAAATTTTCCATTTCTTAAATAATATATTCAGAAATGTAAAAAAAAGTATTGGAAGATAAAAATAATTTCGCAGGGAAATTAAAATCACTACAATTTACTTCCGAGTTCATAATTGTGCATGATTTCAATAAGTTTCAATCAGACCTTATCATTAACTAATACTCTTTTTCGTACTCGACTGTAGCCTGTGTCATAATTTTGCATTCCTTTTTTCTTCATTCTACCTTAACTTTTTTTTTTTAAACTCTGGAGCCGATCTAATAATATCTAAAAGTTTACTATGGGAAATTATGACTTGAATACAAAATACCTTGAGCAACGAATCACTCACTGGAACGGATTATGTTTGTTGCTCAAGGCCCCAACTGCATCTTCTAATATAGGGGTAGCGTTTTCCAAACCATTTTACTTTTCAAAAGATCGAAAAAAGTAAATAGTCAAAGGGATGACGATTCTTCTTAGTGAAAAATTGTTTTCTGAAAACTTTGAAAAGTTGAATGAAAAATAAGACTGACCTTTCCCATCAACATTCTTCCGTATTCGATGCTCCTCGTAAACCAGACGAGATTCTAAAATGGATTCCGGCGTAGCTTGCTCTTGCAGCACAACCTCTCTGTACTCCAACAACGTCTTGTACCTCACTCGTTGTTCTTTCAAATCGTCCAGGGTTTTCTGTAAAACGCTATTGAAAACATTTTTCTGGGATACTTTTTGCGGACATCACGTGTCTTACTCTTTCTGCTCCTTCAAAGCCCGTTCCATTTTCTGATAGCAGCGTATGGCGTGAGGAAAATCTCGAATGGGCGACGCTTCTCTTGAATGTTTATCTTGAGTATACTCTGAAGCTATGTCAAACGCTTCTGCAGATCTACAAATGAAGACGACAATTTCAATTCGAAAAATAGCGGAAATCGATCGATATGATTTACTGTGCCCAAAATAAAAGGCGAAACCGTATCCTAAATATTTCCAAAGGAAATGAGATAATTCAGAATTGTCACTATTGTACAATAAGCAGGAGGAAATACCTGTACTGAAATGCCCACAAAGTTCAAGAATGTCTTCAAATTTTTTTCTCTCGAGTTTTCAAGGCGCGAAGTAAGCTTTTTTCCACTAATAAAAGTAGAATATCGTCACAACAAAGCGTTCGGGGCCTCAAAAAAGGCTTCGCTATAAACCAAAAATAACTTCAAACGAAAGTAATATGACATTGTGGCTAATGGATAGAGACAAAAACAAAAAAAATTCGTTGTAATCATTGATTAGTTATGAGATTCATTGAAAACAGATGCTACTGTACTTAGAATTGATTTTACCAGTAAATTTTTTTATAAATAATTTTATTGGCTGATCACTTTCGAGATGCAGGTACAGTATTAACGTACTTCTAGGAGGGAAAGTGATTCGAGCGACATCTGGTCGACAACCGGAAAATGAATATTGCGCATCGCATCGAGAAGAAGCAAAAAATAAATAAATAAATCACTCAATCAATTAACCTGTTGTATCGTTCGACTAACGCGGCAACGACGCCAACAGCCACAGCAGAAACCTGAGTTCGCCTCCGAAGTTCCTCCGACTTCGGCTGAGCTTCCACCAATGGCAGAACGTGATCAAGCGCCGCCTCCAGAACTACCAAAGCGTCATCTGACAACCGGGCGTAGTGAAGAGACATTCCCATCAGGTTCAGGGCCACATCCTGGACGAAAACACGTCACAATTCATTACCACGAGTGAAAAATTGACCCGTGGGATTTCAAAAATGTCTCACAAGTCAACACCATTTACTTTTCTTCCCGTTTGCAAAAATATATCCCCCTTTCATTCGAATCATTTATGGAAAATTTGGTAAATGTAACGAAGAGAATGAGATCTTAGTGACGGCTACCCATGTTACGGACAAGGTCAAAACGTTATTCTTGAGACTAAAAAAGACACCACAACGCGTAAATTACATATTGAAGTAAAAAATAAAAATAAACCTTTTGAGAACGAGGAGAGTGTGAACGGCTTTTCTGGCGCAGAAAGGGGAACCAAGGGATTAAAAAAATGTCCGGTGACGGCCGTGAGTCAAAAAATTTTGTTTCTTCCAGTTGGCAAAAATATGCGGTATGCCCTTTACTTGGTTTATTTACGGAAACTTTCAAAAAGTAAACGGAGAGAACAACATTTTAATCACGACTTCCACCGCTACAGACAAAGTTAAAACCGCAAGTTTTGTGACTGGAAACTCAGTCTACCATAAAAAAAATAAATGGTCACAGATATTCTAAAAGAAAAAACGTAGATGTTGAAGTGAGAAAAATATACCTTTTGAGAACGAGGAGAGTAGTGAACGGCTTTTCTCGCGCACTCGAGAGATTCGCTGGCGTTGCCCACAACACGCCAGTAAACCGCGGCCCAGTTGTACGCGTCCCAATCCGAAGCATTGAGGTGAACTCGTGCTGCAGCCAGAGACCCGTTAATTTTAGGAAAATATCGCGGACCCAGAGCCTGCGACAATTCTTCGTCCGTGCGAATCTGCAGAGCTTCAGGATTGCGGAAACTCAACTGCACGCCCTGAAACAACAATTCACATAATTTAAAAACTCATCACTTCAGCTCCTCCCCCCCCCCCCCAAAGAAGGGGGAAGACCAGGAAGAGGTAGAGTATTTTGAAAATTAAAAATCAAGGTTAATCCCATCCATCTTCAACGCCTGACCTTAATTCCTAAATCGTCAGTTGATACTATTGTAAGGAATGAAAATCCAACAAAATGAGCCCCAGTAAATTCAAACTTGACAGCAACAAAACGTAGTAAAAAATAAATACAATTTCAGCGACACCTACATGCTTTCTCGAAAAAATCGCGAAGTTGTGGAAGTCAAGGTTGTTGGGTAAAAAACCACACGGCTATAAATGCTGGGAATTTTTCGAAACTGTCGCAAAAATTCCTCACCTGCAAGTGATCGAAAGTAGAAACGTGCATAATTCTAGGTTGCCGACAGTCCGGTTCAAGTTTTTTGATTTCCGCCAGTTTTCCGTCAAAAAGTGAACCAATGTAAATATCACTGTGATCCGAGCTTCTGTCCAAGGGAAATACAAATCTTTAGGTTTGACGAAGAATGCCATTTTGAGAGATGAAATGAGACAATCTCTCTCACCTCGCAAAAGGCCATAGATAAGGCACTAACGATGGATACAAATCCATCTCTGTGAATAAAGACCCGGTTGCACGACAATCCGGGTCCGTTGAAAAAATACGCGCCTCAACGTCCTCATCTTCTACGTTCATTTCGGTTCCATCCACCAATTTCTTCCCTTCCACCTGCACAATAACAAGCAAAAGCATAAAAAAAGAAGATTCCCCAATTAATAGCATTTGTGAGGGTCGTAAAAAGCGTCAATTTTTTTCAAGCAAAGCTTTTGCGGTTGTCAGGTGCCTAATTTTACTCCTCAGTTCATTACAATGATGAAACCCTTGTGGGAACGGGTAGATGTCACCGACAGTCACGCCCCCGTTGAGACACCACCCTTTACAACTGCCCATCCATAAAAAAACTTTCCAATGATAATAGGGAATTAAAAACCCACTAAAATGCCCTTTGACAATGTCACTGAAAACTTGCGTACAGTACTTGATGCTCCGGCCAAACCAGAACGATTTTTGCGAAAAGAAAGAGGACTGTATTTCTACTGCTTCCGGCAATTCTCTAAAAAATTTCTGAACATATTGCGACTATTTTTTTACACACAATTAAAAAGAGATTTATCCACGACTTGATACTACTAGATTTCAAAAAGTTGACTTTTCAACCGCTGATAATTTTTTTTGTGCAGAACAATAAAAACCGGGAATCCCAGGCTTTACGGAAGCGGGAGATACATTCGTCCACCATAAACTCACCGGTTCCTCGAGAAGGTTCTTTTCCAAGGAAGCAATTGCACCAACAAGTTGCTCCTGGCGCATAAAGGTAACAAAGTCATGCGGACGTTTCAAATGAAACGCGGAATCAACCTGCAACAAAACCAGCCAAAATTATTAACTACAACAACAAAAACAAAATAAATAAAGGCACTAGAAGTTAAAAAATAAAGATGACTACTCAGGCATTGTCGCCAATGAAGCTAAACCCAGGAAAACAATTCATCCCGGAAATCCAATATAGGACCACACTGACTTCTAAAGAAAAAATTAGACAATGCCCACAAAGAAAACAAAGCGAGTGCAATTTTGACCTTGATGATTAAAAAGGAATGGATTTCTTGCCTGAGCCACAACTCGTCCATCGTCGGTCAAAACCCAATGCGTGCTTGCCCACAGCAAATTCAAAATTGCACACAAAAGCACTAATACCACGGGCCCACAAAGTGGACCGCGGAGCTTGAACCGCATAAAATCTTCACTAAAATACGCTTCCTCTCTGCAAAACAAAAATACAGAAAAATTACGAACCCAATCATCTCCGAACGATTTACTGAAAAGGCTTCTTGATTTTTAGACTCGAGCTCGTCGTGAAAAAAAAAAAGCTTTAACGTTTTTCAATTTCGGCAGGAAAAAAAATCTCGGAATCACTGCCTGCCAGCCATTCTTCTTTTCATGGCACGCAAACCAAAGATGGTCAGATCAGCAAACAAACTTCATCAAAATAAGCTTTCCAGTTCATCATCTTCGCCACAAAGGGATGAAAGATCGTGCACAACCACATTTCCACAGGCATCTTCGGTTTCACCACTTCCAACAACTTCAGCAGTCTTGAACTTGCTGTTCATATAGTCTGATTCATTGCTGACGACATTCGTCTTAAATGAGCGAGTTTCAGAGGCATTATTGAGCAAATGTTGAGCTTCCGAAGCCCTAGACGCGGTTGACCACGTCGTGGGCTGATTCACAGCAACCACCTCATCATTACCACCACTAAACCCATAACCCTGATTAGCACAATCCCAAAATGTCCCTGGTCTTCGACTGCGACATTCAGTCGACGGCGGAGAATTCTGTATCGTCACTCGCGTGATGTTCTTGCCACCGACACGCGGATTATTCGCGTCGATTCCAGGATTTCCGCAGATTTTAGCAGGGATTTCAGTCGCTGATGAATTTGCAGACCACACAGTCGGCTGCAGGCATTCATCCGCTTGTTCAGAAAGATATTTCGCCCATTTCGACACACCCCTAGGCGGTGTTTCCTGCACCACATCTACGACAGAAACACAAAACCGGCCCAAATGTTACGGCTGCGTTTCATTTCTTGTTTTGTTTTTCTCGAAGATTATATATTCAATATTATAAATGTTACCAACTTTGAGGCTCGATCTCCGACTCAGACAAGCGCTTCAATTCCCGCTCTTGCGCTTCGACTCTGCCTCGCTCAGCGTTCAGCTTTTGTGAATGAACGCGACAATCGCTCGCCGACCCCCGACCATATTCCTTAAAAGGAGGATGTTATTGTAAAATTCGAATACAAAATAATGCTTTGAAATCAGAGAGAAATCTTTTTTCTTTCCTTTATCATGCTCAAACATTTTTTTGTACGAACCTTTCAAACAAATTCAACGCCGATATAATTTACAGTGGGGTCCCGACACGCGAGCACAACATGGGGGCGATATGACTCAGGGACACTTGTTAACTCGAAAAGTCTGCCCCAAGATCTGGACTATGCCTCAATAAGACGTTGAAACTTGACAAAGATTTTTGGATTTCTAGACAATCAGAAAAATTTTATTTTTCAAATTTGGATAAACAGTGTCATAAACGAATTGAGCTTCTTATAATAAAAAAATAAATTTTGTTGGAAATTCAGTATACAGTAATTCAGAATCCACAAGAGATTAATTTGTCACTGTACAGTACTTCTTTTCTTCGAGTGCTTTCCATAATCTGAGCACAGTGTAGAAGGACTAGCGATTTTTCTTCGCTTTTCGCGCTTCTTTTCATGCCAAAAATCAGATTACGGTATCTGTTTTAACCGCATTGCTAGTTTGTGAAATTCGAAGTTGAGAAAAGTGCTTTCCTCCCATTTTCGGGGTTTTTATTTAAATTTTGATCAACGGGAAAATCAATTAAAAATATTTCCATTGAAGTCAAAGGGAAGAGGTGATCTTGCACGCGGACGTTTCGACCTTGGAACAAGGCCTAAGCACCAATGACGTCCGCATCTCGGGGCCCCCCGAAATTTCGAAAGTTCTCAACGCACAATAAATTTTCAAACTACGTACGAAGAAAAAAATATATCCAAATTATCAATTGAAAGAAAACGCGCGACACAGCTTTGAAAAAGTGGGCAACCTCAACATGGATTGAAGAAATCATCGAAAAAAATTATTTTTTTTTTTCCGTGAAAAACGTTTCACCTCCTGACTATTCCATAACGCAGAACTCACCTTGATAACAGACTGCTTCGCACCACAAAGTCTACATTCCCACCTGTTCACTTTTTTCACCTGCTGCACCTGAAACGCCGCACAAGTCGCGCAACGCAAAACATGGAATTCCTGCGGCATGCGAACAGACGAGCCTGCAAGGAGAAATACATAGCAATCAATAATACGTTTAAAATGCACGGCATTAGTCGTTAGTTCCTGGCTACAAAATCAATACGACACGTGTTCGCAAAAAATTTTTCTTCCGACAACAGAAACATCTCCAAGCGACAGTCATCGGTAAGTGTTAACTGACGCTGATCCAGCACAAAATGTCTCCCTCATTCCGGGTTCTCACACTCACATCAGCATAATAGTTCCGAGTGAATATGTCGAAATGAAAACAAAAAATCAAACCTTAATAACTCAACAAAAAAACTTGAGACCGAGGGACTCGACGATGTTTCATCGTTGAAAAATAAAAAGAAATGGAAGAAATTGCAAAAAAAAAATGTCTGTTACCTTCAAGCATTTTCTAGCTCCAAAAACAATTCACGGGAGCCGACGGAAATCCACGCCGGAAATAAGCAGTGAGAAATGTTTCCGAAGGCAGGAGAAAAATGTACACAATCCTGAAAACACGCGCTTCATCTTTTTTTTCCGCATTAGCTTCTGGGGTTCCTTGGATTTCCACGGGGAATGATGACACAAAAAACAAGACAAAGGAACAACAATTTTCACTCATCGAGACCATACAAGTCTTGATACACTTTCCACCAACGTCGAGCCACACGTTCGAGGCAACCGTTTTCAGTTGCGCAACAAATCTTAAAAGTGACAGGATCAGGTGGAGCGTCAAGAACCAAGGGACATTAATTACCCTTGCCTCAACCCTTTTTCTTTCTTTTTCACGAACGAGAAAGCAAACGGTTCATCATTGACTCGTCTCGCATTCTTTTCCAAAATTCCAAGACTGCACGCGGTGTGGGACGATGTCTAATAGCGCACAACCCTTACACACAGACAACGACAGCTTTCACGAAGGCAAGCTCGAAAATTTTGCGATTGCCAGTAGAGATGCTCACGGGTTAAACCTTAGTTTACGACACACAGACGGCTTTATAGGGTACAGTAATGTAATGCACTGTCAAATTTCTTTTCAACCAAATTGGGCAGTCATTTGATCGAAGGTTCAGGAATTATCTAGTACTGAACCCAACGCATTACTCATACATTCTTCAATCAGTATTGGCAAGCATTTTCGAACCAGCCTTCGCACAAAAAAATCACTCGCAAGTCCTTGAAATTAGCCTCACGATCATGCAAACACAGAGCATTTACAATGATGTGCTGTTCACAGAACTTCACACTGACGGTTATTCCACGTTCACAGGGTTGCACGCTATCAAGATGAAACCCCCCAACACGCACCAGAAAAAAATAAAACTCGGGCCTCGGTTTCTAGTCAATCAGTTAGCGGAAAATAAAATACCCAACCTAATAAATAAATAAAACCGAGCAGAGCTTCATACTCATACAGGATGTCTGAATATGCCTCTGCAGAAGAAGGCAAGTTCGCGGAAATTGTTGCAAATAACATTAACGATGCTAAAAAGATTTCTTCGAAGCAAAAAAAAAAAAAAAAATGTGCCCTCAGAGAAAATCCCAGAAGCAAGCACAACGTTGAGTCGAATGAATTTCATCATGACTGCCAGTGAAATCTACACGCACACACACACGGTAATGGATAAAGCACGAGCTAGCATTACTTCGATTACACAAATTTTTTCTTTATATCGCACAGTGACTTTCCCAGACACCCTGCACAGATGGACGGGCGTGAAAAATAAATATGTTGAATAATTCAAACCAGATTCTCACAACGACGCGCACTCATGCTCCAAATGTCTTGCCTCCCTACATCAATTTCTCGGGTACATCGAGAGTTCGGCTGAAACTCTACAAAATTAAAACACTGATTTCTGAAAAGCGTGCAACACATACATCTTTGACAGTTGTCCAGTCAGCCACGAAGTCTCGACGAACCGTGCAACAAATTTCCTTTCTCCCTCGCTCAAATGAATAAGGGATAAAAATAAAGAAACAAGTATCATCCAGCTGAACTTTGTCAAACAGAAAAAGGCGGGCTTCAATCAATCAATAAATCAAACATCTATTCCTGCTGAGAAGGAACAACCTACAACAGAACAACTTTGCTGAACAACCCGAAAACGAATAACCGTATCAATAACTCAATCGTTGGCGGGAAAATCTGAATTACGACGTTTCAAAGCTAATCTGATCGACGGCATTCAATCGAGCCTAATACCAATTCGCTCGTGCGATGTATTCATTCTCGAAATCTTTCGCGTTCTCTCCAAAATCGTCAAGGGGAAAAGAAGCTCACAAAATGTAACGAGAGCAATTAATTTTTTTGCAATAAATGCCAGCCATTTCACGTACCACCACAACAAAAAAACAAATAAAACGCTCTTTTCTACGTCTTTTCGAGTTGAGTAAGAATCGACTGTTTAAAGATACAACTCCACTTATGAAACGTATGACTTCAAATCAACTTCTTGACATAAACCACAATTCTGTGAACGCGGGTGGATTGCATCAATTTTTGGTCGACGTATAAGAATCGGTTCAAAAATGTAGACAGCACCTCGAAATAATTAAATTAAAACTGGATTTAAGTTCGACCACGTTTCCGAACCAACCACAGTAAATGACATGGGACTTGAGTTTTTTTTTCTTTTTCAAAATCGTTTCTTGACCACAAATACGCCACCAAAGAGAGTTTCTGCCTAATTCGATTATGTACTCTCAACGAAAGAAAGAAATAACGATTTCAGCTTTCGACAACCCTCCACGAGAGGATGCAGTGCACGTGACTGAGACCCAGGTTGAAATTGATTCACGGATCTGTCCTAATCACTAAAATTCGGACTGTGTGCTACATGCAGGGTTGCCCAAAGCTTCGCGAGAAGATGCCAGGAAAAGAACCCGAAACGGATGAAACGAACTCGACAGCCAATTTCATATCATATCCTGGACGCCGTCCAGCAAAAACCTTGAATCTCTCACTGAAAACAAAAAAAAAAAAAAAAATCGGTCTCCTCCCGAGCGTTTTTTTGAAAAAGGCACTGGGGAAAGCATGGGGATACGGGGGGAAAACAAAAGAGCGGGACACGAGAAAAAACAAGCCACAAAAAAAGAAAATAAAATAAAAAGCTCAATCCGAGTTACCCTTTGAGCAGATGGCAGCCAGGCCAAATTTCTCAAGCGCCGCCAACGCCTGTTGAGCCGCGTGCTCGTGGGCGTCCTCCAGCGTGGCGCCGGTCCCGTGAAACATGCCCTTGGATCCGTCCACAGAGTTCCACGACGGCAGGTTGAGGATGGACACGAAGCCGTCCGTCTCGCCCGTCTTTTGCGGGAAGTCGGTGAAGGTGAATGCAAACTTGATGACGTCAGCCAAGTACGACAGCTCCGTCTTGGACCGCTTCTCTTTGGCCGTGTCCGATGTGATGTAAAGCAGATTCGGCTCGACGGTTCGGGTTTTCGGCGGGATTCGACGCGGCTGGTCTTCATTCGGTGCTTTCGTCTTCGGGTCGAACGTCACTTTCCGGCTCCGCTGGGCTCTTTCTTCCTCCTCTTCTCGAGTCTGCAATCAAAATCGAAAAAAAAAAAACCGAAGTCTCGATCAAATCTCGGGAATTGGCATAAGGAACCTGCACAGTGATTGGTTTGCTTTGAAGCCCATTTAACTGTGATGCGAAAAATATCGGCGGACAATCACGGGCAGGTGAAACATGAATGCAGAATCGAAAAATTATTCTTGAACAACGAAACTTCTCACAGATGAAGAAAAAAAAACTGCGTAAACCTAGTACTGTGCATCCGCCAATTTTTAAACGATTCCTACAAAAGCACTTCGCGTCAGAGATTGGCATTCGACTCGAGAAAAAAAAAATATTATCACGGGAATGTAAAAATATTTTTTCCAAATAATTGATACATCACCGAAGCTGAAAATCTTTCTACAACGAAGGATAAATTCAACGCATGATATGAACAAATAGCAGAAAAATCGACGCTTCAAAACTTGAATTGGACTCAGAATCAGCAATTTTTTGTATATCCTCTGTGCTACAGCGGTCAATATATTCCTCGCCAGAATAATATACTTCATAGGGAATTAAACAGCTTTTACATGACGTCTCGTAACAATATTCCCAAGACACAAGTAAAAAAATAAAAAATAAATATGCACAACTTCTAGCCGGCAATAGCTCCCAGAATATTTTTAAACGAATGAATGTGTTCGAGATTCACCACGAATCTTCACTTTCGTTTAGCCTAAAAACAATGAAGTAAATACGGCAGAAATTCAGCATGCATCGTCACTTTCGACATCAATCACCTTTTTGATGGCCGGCTTGTCTGGTTGCGGCGTCGGTTTCACGTATCCCATAGCAATCAGTAGCGCTTCAGCAGCGGCGCGTTTCGCCATTTTCTTATTGTTGCCCACTCCCTTGCACGTGTGCTCACCGCAAGTGACTTGCATCGTGAATTCCCGCTTCCTCGGCATTCCTTTCTCGTAAAGAAACGTGTACACGGGCTCCTTTTCCTTCTTCGATTGCTGAATTTGAATCAGGCGAGATATTGGGTTGATGCCGTCACCGTACTCAACATTCGCCGCTTGCACCTGCGTGGCACATAAAACAAAAATGAATAAAAAATTACATGCAATTTTCCAATATTCAAAAACTCGGGAATTCAGGATGATACTGAAGACGGAAGTCGAGAATGAAAAACGTTCAAAATCATTAATACGTTTCAAGTCAGAAAATCTAACACCTTGCCAGTAATTTATGTCGAAATGAGTATTCAATTACTGTACTGAACCATTTCAATTACGACTGAAGAGGATCTTTCTTCAAAGCAAGTTTTTTCGCTCTCAAAAAGCCGTAATCGTCATTTAGATATACTAAATAGAAAGGAAAAACCCTGAAGATACAACTGTGCACTAGGGAAAACAATTTTCACCTTGATGATGTTTAGCTTCTTCTTCTTGGCGGGCTTCGGTTTGCCTTGCTGCTTAGCCTTCAACGCACATTCCGTTTCCGCCGACTTGATGATCTCCGTGTTTACCCGAATGAGCTCCTTCAGCATTTTCTCAGCTGCTTCTTTTTTGGCCGCCTTCTTCCCACTGCCTTCTGCTTCCACGAACAGCGGCTCAGCCAACGCGCCAAGCTTCGCGTCATCGTTTGGTCCAGTTGCCGACACGGTACATCGCGTGACGAATTTCCGCAAATGCGGCGGACCCGATTCGGCAATAACGGAAAACTCAACGTTGAAATTACTCTTCACCGCGGACTCGTGCAACATGGAAATGGGAGACTTGATGTCCATGAGTTCCTTGAACTTCTCCTCTAGCACTTGGTCGTTCTCGCCGTTCACAGCAGACTCCGACTTGACCTGTTGCGACTTCTGCAAAGCTTCTCGTAGGTCCACCAGGGCCTTGCCGGCGGCGTTGTGTTTCGCAGCTTGCGGCGTGACTCCATGGCCAATGTACTCCTTCTTGGCCACGTGCAGCACGACCGACGTAGGCTGATACTGTTGATACCGTGGCATGGGCCTTCCCGGGGCCAGGACAGAAAACTGCACCGTTTCGCCGAGTTTCATGGCGAGCGAGTTGAGTTCAACTGAAGGGTTCACGGCGACTGGCTTCTTCTCAGACTTGGGTTCCGGTTTCTTATATTTGGTTTGCTCCAGGGCCATCAACGCCGCCGCGTGCTGGGCCTTCTTTATAGAGGCGCCTTTGGCTACGTATTCCTCCACGTTATCGTTGGAAGCGTCATCCTTGTCACCCAACCGGAGAGTCACTGTGAATGTCTTGCTATGCGCAGGACCGGTTTCGTCAGTCAGGTGATACTGGTGCTGGATTTTATTGAACCTACAAGAATTCCAATCGAAAACCTTTTTAAATTTAAATTTTCACTCAAAAGAATTATCGAGCGCAGCACTGTACAATATGTTATAATGGTTTAATCAGGGATCCACATTTCAGTACATTAATCGCGGTATTTCATCCGGGGCCCAAAAAAAAACAATGAGCTGGTTTAGAGAAAAATATTGAAGGCAATGCGTAATTCGCACCAGCTACAGGTTGGTAATCCCGGTATTAGATACAACACATGGATTACGCTAAATGATCACCACAACTCATTTAACCTTGACTGACTGCATGTACCTTTCCGCTGTTTGAAGGGAAAAAAAGGACTAGCCCCGCATGGTTTGCGTGGCTTCTATACTCCTAAAGAATAGAGTCATATCCAAGCATTTCAATTACTTACCTTGCTAATTCATTTATGTAGCACATGGGAGTCTTTCCTTGCGCGACCAGGATTCCCGAAGGATTATTGGAGGGAGGAGTTTCAACAACATCCGGGATTTTCTCTGCTGTTGAGGCGCGTTGCTGCTCGGTTTCCTTTTCTGGATTTTTCAAGATCGATATTTGAAGGGTTTGGACTGCTGGTTTGACATCCTCAGTAGGCTTGGGTGATAGCTTTTCCGAAGGGCGACTGCGTTGGATTGACTGGTTCGGGGAATATCGAGAGCCAGAATGATAAGCATGAGGCACGTGGGAAACCGGCCGAAAGCCAGCATAAGGAGACACATGGTAACCTGTAAGAGAAACACGTAATTACGATGATTTCCACACTTTCCGTGATTTGAATTTGATGACTAACTTTCTCCGAGCATTGGTGGTCTTGGGGGACGATACTGCGGCGGGCCCCATGAAGAAACTGGGTTAGGGTATGCAGGTCTGAACCAATCCGGCTGCGGTCCCGAGGAGTGCGCAGGTATCCTGAAGCTTGTACAGCTTTTCATTATCACAGCTTTTACCTGGAATGGAGATCACGACATGCTGTCAACAGTCCACCGATCATCACATTTCAGAAACAAGAACTAAAACCGTCAAGGCGGTTCACTCGCTCATAGGGAAACGTTACGTGTCTCTCACTGCACGCAGACTACGACTCGCATATCACTGAAGTTTCATTGACCGCTCCGAAATATCAACTACGTGAAAAGCGATGACGAACACATTAACACAATTACATTTGCAAAAGACTCCTAATTTCACCCGCAATAACTTCGGCTTTTCACGACGACGGACGGAAGAAGGTGTACCGAACGGCCTGCCAGGCGCTACAACCTAGCAAGCGACATCTACCACAATTCAGGGAAACTGTAACTGCGAGGACTTCCCTCACACTGTGGCTTTCTTATGAACACGATACAGTGCTAATTTGCGACCTTCCATCAAAATAAACCCATTACTATAATCTCTCATAAAAGTACTGTACACTACATTTGATAAAAACAAACCAATAACAAGATTTTCGGGTTTTTCCAATCGCTTTTGTGGAAAGAATTGCGACTTTCACCAAAATCATCGAGTGGAAAAATGATAATCCGTAACAAATGAAAGCGACGACAAAAGGATTTCTCAAAGCACGAGAACTTTATAGCCCAACTGCAGCCTTCAACTCCCATACAAGGAATAAATCGAAATTGTCTTCAGCGAGAACAATTGCGCACATGATCATTCCCAGTCCCCATCATCACACAGTTCCGCTAGGAAAAATCCTACCTAATCTCGACTACAGGTCAGTTCAACAGCCACTCACAGTTTTCGGAAAAAAACAATCTCAACCTTTCTGCCATTCGGTCAACAATCCAGAGAATGCAGTCGAAGAATTATTCTATCCCAGGATTTACGTTTTGTATGATGAATTTAAAAAGTTAATGTGCAGAAGATGAATTTGGATTCCTGGCTCAGTCATGATCGTGGGTAAAAAAAACTAATAAGATGAAAAGTAATATTTTGACGCCTGAAATATCAACAAAATTGGTCAAATAAAAAAATTTCAATATTACAGCAACTGAACCCAGGATTAAATGGAACTGAGGAAGTAACTAATTACCGGTTAAAAGTGACGTTTAGACAAAGCATTACAATTTCTGCAATTGTAAAATTCTCACTGCACAGAAACTTTTTAACATCCAACCGGGAAATACAGCGGGACCCCAAAATTTGGACAATCCGAATGAAGGACACTTCACTAAAAAATCTACACCAATAAACATTCAGACAATGTCTCATGATAGAGATCACTTCAACATCTCTAGAAATTGTACTTTTTCAAAATATCGACATGTCTTCAACAAAAGTTGAAAATACAGTACATTTCATTCCTTTTAATTCAAAACCCAAAACAGGTTAATTTTGTGCTTCTTTTTTCAGAGCTCTTTCCATCATATATGCAGAGTATGGGAAGACTTATGCTTTTTTCTTTGCTTTCGGGGTTCTTATTCATGCCAAAACATGGAATGGCACGCAATTTTCTTCTCCACTGACATTGTATCTTAAACTAGAGAAAAATTACTTTAGTCAAACTTTGGGGGCTTTTTCCTTATTTGTGATTGAAAGGAGAGCCAATTAATATATATTCCCGTTAAAGTGTAAGCAACAACATGATCCAATATGCGGATAATCTGACACAGGGACAAGTTCCAAGCACCAATTATTACGTCTGCCTCTTGGGGTCCCACTGTACTTCACTTCTCAGTTTCTTAAAAATGAGCAGGAATCTTATCTCTGGGAAATGATTTCTACCAAGAAAAGAAGGATTTCAGCAGAACTTCACATTCCGCTTCACATAGTGGCAAAGTAAAAGCAAAGCGCGAAGATCACGAATGAACTTCAAATAATTCCTCTCCCGAACACAAGGAATTTTAGGCCTCGAAAAAGTAGTCACAAAAGCAGAGCTAAATAAAAACCCTCCACGAATAGAAAGCAACCCTAAAAACAGGATTCGAAATGACAAAAAAAAAATCATTCAGGACAGAAACATTTTGAACTGACGTAGATTAATATTCGCCAACCCACTTCGGGCAATGCAAATATATTTCATGTGAGAGCGACACCTTCCAATAATCCCTTCTCTATCACACTCGAAGACATCATAAAATTGCAACTCGCGTCTTTGAAAAGGACTCTTGTCCCTTGAAAAACTAAAGCAAAAAAATCCAGAGAGCATCAAAGCCGCATACAAATGACACACGCGAACCCAGGAATAAAAAGAGAGGAAAAACGTCACAGCAAAAATATCAATAAAGCCAATATTTCCCAACGCTCCCGAAGTTTTGTTTTCCTTCGCAAGTCACCTAATTTCCGAAAGTGAAGAAAATGGTGCCTTCTGTTTCCTCCTGACAAAATTCGACGCCTTCTCATTTCTCCCTAAAATTTCCTGCTGCCCTGTTTGAGATTCCAACTCAATATTTGATTTCACATGATCAAGGTTTCATCCTTTCGCCTTTTATCAAATTTACATCCGCAGATAATCCAAAACCGCACGGATTTCGAGAATCGGTGCTTCATTACTGGATGATCTCAAAGGCTTTCCAGTACTAAAAAATTACTAAAATAAAAAAGAACGGAAATCTAGACACAAATCCCTGAAAATACTCGTCAAACCTGGTGATATTTAACGTGTTTCGTAGCATATCATACGCACACATTTCAATTCGATTCTCTTTCAAGGGAACTCGTATCAATTTTCATGAGAATTTCTCACACTACCATGTGCACAACCCAGCATGGAAATCGTATTGTACCAAGGAGTTTCTCTAAAATCATGCAAACCAACATTGCATTACGTGAAAACATTCAAATTCCATAGAAATAACCTCTTCTCTGCTCATTTAAAATATGGCGTCACAAAAAAAAAAAAAAACGAGCAAGAAGAAAAAATATTTGATTTGCGCATTTGTTAAGATGTCCGGCAGGCAAGGGATTATTCGCTTTGTTCTTGAAGTCTGCCAATCACAAAAATCAAGAAATAGAACTGCTCACAAAAATTTTTTTACCTCTTGCGTGTTGCCAAACGGCTTTGAGGATTTTCGGGAGGATTTAATTTGCGCCATTAATTAAAAAACAGAGGGTACCAAAAATATTCACTGGAAATGAATGCACGGATCTGTAGAAAAAAAGGTAGCTGAGAGCCATTACAGCTAAGTCTTTGGTAAATGCCTGCCAAAAATTAAAGAATCATCTTTTAAAAAAAAATAATAATTCCGACATTTTGAAAATGTTCTTCACAATCCTAATACAGTACTCATTGTGTATTTCACCCGCTCGTATGAATCAATAGTTTTTAAATGATAGGATTTTATCCATTTGAAAATTTGTTGCTGGTTCGCAGGACTTCAGAGATACTCCTCGAATGTGGATGACCTCAAAAACTGAACTTCATGAAAAATTGAAGCAAAAAATAAAAATAAAAATTTAAAATCCCACTCTTTGAGCTATTGAAAATTGGGCAATTGGAAAATGTGTGAACTAAAGCATGTTCTGTCCTATTTCTACATCCAGGGTTGTGCACTAGAGACATCTGCACTCACACCAAACGGTAAAACCTGACTTCCGCCACGATTGATGTTCTGCTCATAATCCCAATGTTTTCATCTTCGACGACGAGACGCGTACACTTTATCTTTCGTGTACTGCTTTTCCCCCTTTCGTTTACGCCCTTCACTCTTGGCCTTCTCGTAACCTCGGGTGTCTTTCCTCTTCTTCTTCCTCTTCATCTCCTTCCATTCATCGTCACCGGCACCATCCTGTTCCTTATACGGCTTCTGCGGCCTGTTCCTCTTGGCCCGCTCGAACATCCAATCGGTCGCTCTGTCATGCATCCTCGAGTCATGCCGGGATTTCGCTCGTTCAAAAACCCAATCCGTCTTCTCCTGGGTTCCATTCGCACAGACAGACGACTCAGACACGGGTTCCGAGTCCACAGGTTCCACCTCGACGTCGCTCACCACTTTGGTCCACACCCGCGGGATCGTCTCGGCCGCCTTGAACAAAGCATCAAAATGGCCCGAGACGTTGCTGTCCGACGCCAAGTCGCGGAGCTTCGTCATACGTCCCACCAGCCTGTCCTTGAGATCCGTCGCGAAGCTCGTGACGGCGGTGGCCGAGTCACGCAGGAAATTCTTGGCCGTCTCCGTCCGATTCTGCGACGGCGTGAACGCGGATGCCACTGACTTGGTGACAAAGTCCAGGTTGACCGACTCCCACGGCACGTCCGGGGCGACCTTCTCTTCTCGCAGGGCGTCCCAGAGCCGCTTGAAAAACGGCGTCCGCGGGGGCGTCGTTGATGATGATGATGAAGACGACGATTCGTCACGAGATCTCGGGGACGGATCGTTCATCGCCAACCCGAGTTTACAAAAACGCTTCGCGACGTCGTCCGACACGCTTTTGCAGCCGTTTAGAGCTCGCTTGACGGCGTCAGCAGACCGCAACGAGTCCCACACGTCCGTCGCGACGGCTTCTAGCTTTCGCCAGGAAGAAGAAATCGTGTCAAAATTGTCTTCTTCGGCCTCTTCTCGCGGAATCGGGGAGTCCAGCACCGAAGGTTCAACTATATCTTCCTTTGTTTTATGATCCACACTTGGCTCTTGGATCGAAGCGGGTTCCGCTTCAGTTTGTCGCCAGGCTGAACCTACGGGCTTCCTGTTCACGAGACAAAAAAAATAAGCAGAAAATGTATTCCCTTCTCAAATTGCACAATGAGGGCAATCTCAGAAGTTAACGCTAAAAAAGAAGTCGGGACGTGTGAATCAAATGTTGGGTGAAGCACAGGCAGAATTGCATCACAATACGACGTAAATTAGTGTTTCATACAAATTTCAACTACAGCATTGTGCAACGCAGAAATCATATACAGAAAAATTCCGTTACAATGAATGTCGTTATAACGAACGAATTTTAGGTTTTAAGCTCAGTATAACACATTGTTGGCCCTGATTCTGTACATAGACCATAGGGATTATTCAATAAATTGAAAAAAGGAAAGAAAAAAAAGTAATTACGCAGCATTCCAACTTCATCAAAGAAGCAAACCTCTCGACAAAGAAAATTCAGAGTTCAAAATTAGAAAAGACACTTTTCTTGGCAATTATTCAGCTCCATTTCAGAATGTGCGCCTTTTTTTCAAATAAACAGTAAGCTGTTCATGCTAGAAATATTTTGTTTCGGTCCCGGCAATTTCTCCAGAGGCGCCATATTATAAAAATCTCGTTTTGACAGTCTTTCTGGGCTTCGGTCTCATTATAACGAAAATGTTGCCCTCATGTGCATAGGACCCATAGGTCATAGGGATTATTTGATACAGTTGAAAAAAATTAGAAAAAAATCAGAGAGGCGCAACTTTCGAACTTCGTCAAATAAGCAAAACTTTCCAGGTGTTCAAAAAATACGCAACATGACATAAAATTCGAGAATTATTCAGCTCCATTTCATATGCATGCAAAAAAATTGAATGAAGATATTCTTCTGCCGCAGAGAGATTTCCCAGCATAATGAACACTTACTGCAAACCGTCGATAACTTCTCGAAGTCCTTTCACCTCGTCCACCAGGAAATCAATCTGCCTCGTTTGAGCTTCTTCCACGGTGATTTCCTGCAAATTTGCTACCCGCAGATCGTTCAAAGCGGAGTTCAGCACGTCGCGTTCGAGCGTCAGTCGATCGACTCTGTCTTCGTAACGTGACACCTTCTCCTCATGACTCTTTCCTATAAAAGATAATGCTTTCTTCAAAGAATTTCCGGCCAAACTATAAAATGAAAAAAACATAGGAAGGTACTCCACTGTAAAATAAGACACTTGAAAAATTCGGATCAAACTAATGGGACAAAAAACTAGGAAGTGCCGCAGAATGAACAAATAAAGTACTTCAGCTTCTAAAAAAAAATTCTTCCCCAGAAAACTGAGAATGGTTCAAAATTTGTATTCTTTAATGCCTGCTGGTGGGAAATTTCTATTGAAACGCCGACAAAAATATCTAAAATTAATTTTAGATGTCCCAGAAAAAAAAGGATGAAAGACCAAAATATTCAAGGTGGAGGCTCGCAGGGAAGGGATTTTTTGTTGAATGCCCCGAACAATCCTGTAGGTCAACAGAATAGAATTAAGAAAATGAACAATGAGTCCTTGAAAATGAGAAACCATGCCAACCATGCAACGAAAAAAAAAATGGCAAAAAATAAAATAAAAAATTCAGAGAAACCTCAGCATAAGTGGGATCACACTCACGCAAACTGTTTAAATCATTCTGCAGTCCTTCAACGCGTCGGAGAAGATCAGCGTTGAGAGCAGAGAGGTTTTTTATTCGCTGGTCATCCTCGTCCACGTCGTCGTTGAGGTCGTGTTTACACGACGACAACTCGTTTTTCAGGGTATCGACAGTTCGTTTCGTCGACTTCTGGATCTCCTCGGTGATCGACGACTGTTCCGACCACCCTGATAGTTAGCAACATGCACAAACAACGGGAAGACACTCGTTTTAGTCAACATCGAGGGCAGAAAATACATGAATTTCACTGGGCATGACCAAAAAATCAACAAAAATGCAACTTTTTTCTTTACAACCCAAAAAAAAAAAACCCAGCATTTTGCTGCTCTATCTCTTTCTTGAGAGGTGTCTCAAAATTGATTTTCAGCATAATTATTCAATGCATACAGTATACAGTACTGTGCTTGCAAGAACAAACAATATTACTGTATATGCAGCAAGGATTTTTAAATCCACAAGACGATTTCAAATATTTCAATGAGAAGTTTTTCAAGCGCGGATAGATGTCACCGACAGTCAAGACCACATTTTAACTTCAATCTGCTTCTGGGTTCCTCTTGTGTGCAAATGAGCACTGTAACAAGGGTGTCTCAGGTTTGCTGGAATACACGTGGAATATTACCTTGTAATCAAAAATATTTTTTCCCTGCCTCATTCCTTCATGCAGCATCAACAATGGAATCGCGAATTTTGCTGCTGTTATCCATTTACGGTTTCAAACGCAATAACAAGGACTTTTCCATCACCAAGTAACTTTTTTCAGCCCCCACATAAGCCAAAGAACTTGTTAAAATATGCAACCCACTCCCCGCATTTTTTCTAAAAAATTTTATTAAATCTTGGGAGGTTGAATAATAACGCACAGAAAATTCTTCACTGCAACAGGACATTACCAAGGAACGCGAGGACCAACAGACCACACTGACAACTGCAAACCTTTTTGACTTTCACCTCCACAGCAAAAAATGTACACCAGCATACATTACAGTATTTTTTTTCCAAAAAACGAAGACTCACCCAGAAAATGTCCAACTCCGAGCCCGAGGACCAAAACGGCAGCGAACGCGACGAGGAAATTGAGGCCCATGGCGAGCCTCTTGTTCCTCGTGTGCACATACTTCTTCTCGGGCCTGATGACGTTCAAGTTGGCCGGCAACTCGTTGACGCACAAATATGACGAACCCGTATCCACGTCCGCAATGTCGTGAGGCGACTCGGCCGACATTTCTCGCTCCGATCCCGAGTCGCCAATGATGGACACGCTTTCCGAGGAAGAACTGTTTTCCTTTTGCAACGACAATCGCTCTTTCCGACGACGACGGAGATTTTGGAGAATGTCTTGGTAGTGGGTGGGCAGCAGGACTTCCAAACTGCGGCAGCTGGCGTCGGAATCGTCGTCTGGCTTCTCCGGCTCAAGAGCACTATTCCCACTTTTTGATCTGCTTTGGAAAAACGAACAGAGGGCGAACAGAGTTAAATAAACTTTTTCTCTCAAAAATGCAGTCCCAAATTCAATGGAATGTGCAAAAATGCGTACGATTTGATGAGAAAACTCAACTGTCGATCGAACAACTGAACTTTCCGCATGAGCTGATCTAATAAAACATGAGCTGATCTAAAATAGTAAAAACAGAAAATTGGCACGTCTAAGTGCAATCCAATCCAACAACAACGTACATCCTCGTTATTTCTCTTTCAAGACGAAATATTTGCCGCGAACAAATTTTCCGCGCAAGCTTAGTGAATAAAGGTGAAAATAAAGGAGAAGGGCCTAAATTTGCTGGCCTTCAGTCTGATGGATTGGTTTTCGACAAGAAATACATACTCGAACAACGTCTAAATTATTTGTCACACGCAGAAAAATTTAAATTTTGGGCACAGCGTAAAAAAACCCCGCACCAATAGCTTTTTACACTGCAAGTGTAAATAAATTCCCATGGTCAGTCGCTCATACTTACTCGTCACGCTCCGTCCCGTCGAGGTTCGGCGAACTTGAATGCGAACTCAAATCGACAGATCGCGAAAAGAAGTCCTCTTTATTGGCCTCCACGCTGGAAATTAGAACCCATTCCGCTCTCGCAGCGCCTTCAACTTCACCCACTGCTTCTTCTTCATCGTCACGAACAACCGCGTTTCCGTCATCCGCCATCCTCACACAAAACACTTTCTTCACTGCATTTGTCTGTAGACAAAATAAAAATATACAGTACATACACATTTGAAACTGCGTCGACGTCAACGAAGGTATAGCACAACTGACGTACAGTCGGAGACGGATTTTGTGGGAAGATACTGTACCAAGATTCGGTGAAACGAATCCTGGCACAGAATCAAGACTCACGAGGGTTGCCTCAAAAGTGGAGCGACTCAACTATATCATTTATTTCTGCGATTCTAAAAAAAAAACCTTTTCCTGGTCTTCTTTTTCTTCAATGTCCGGTATTCGAGCAAAAAAAAAGTAAAATCAAGTACAGTACTGTAATGCTATGGTCATTACAACAAGCTCCCACGGACCTGAGAAAAAATATCGTTGAAAGAAACTGAAATTTTGTGGGAAACACGTAAAAGATGCTTTAACGTACTTCTATAAAAGATATGAGAAGAATTGAAAACTTCTTTTCATGAAATCTAGAGAAAACTCAAGATGTAAAAAACAATTCTCTTATTAACTTTCATGAACTGTTTTCGAAGGTTTTACTTGACTTTCATGAATATTTTTCAAATATTTCAATCTTACTGAAGCATGAGCTGAAATAAACATAAAATACAGTACACGTGTAAGAACTAAGAGCATTTATTCATCAATACCTGTAAGTACCCTGAAATAGGGCAGTCCCCTTCCAAAAATACTTTTCTTTCAAGAAATTAGCCATTTACAAACTTTAAAATAAAGTAAATACATTTTGATTAGAGCTTCACACTTCCCGGAATGCTAAATTTTCTTCACAAGAAGACTAGCATTTATGTTTTCGAAGGCTTTTAAACTAGGCACCAGTTGGGTTATCCATTTTGTGCCAGTTACAGTAGTAAGCATTTTGACCCATTCACACATGATCAAGGCGAAAATTCGTTAGCCTGAATTATAGAGAAAAATTACTTTGTTATAAAATTTTTTTTATAAACCCTGTTCCTATGACGAAACTGCGAAGACCAAAGGAAAAATTCGTTATACAGTACCAAGATTTGATTTTTTGTAAGGGAATTTTACTGCGTTTGCAATACAGATGAAGCAATAATGTGATGGATCAAACTACATATTCCCAAGTAAGCCGGTTTTACCGAGGTCACATTTCTCAAATTTTAAACTTGATGAATTCCATGGCGTCAAGTCGCACAACTTTCGAAGCCACAGCCACGTTATTTGGGAACGCGGGAATCAACATCCACGCACGGATCGGAAAACTTTTATGTCAGCTCAAGCGCCATGGACTCGACCAACTGGTCCAGATCCGCCACCAACACCTCCTCAGCATCCACACTGCGTCCCCAAGTCGCGAAACTCTTCGTCTTCAACTTGGTCGAAAACAGGAACCTTTCTTTCGCCGAAACGTCGCTCATTCTCTTGCATCCATTCAAAATATCCCGCGAAATGGCGGCAGCCGTCGAAAGAACCCGATCCTTGTTGCATGAATCACATAGAGTCAACGCCAGGGACTTCATCAGGGACTGAACTCCTCGTTCGAGCGTCGTCTGATCCGCTTCAGAGTCCGCCAACAGCACGTCGCCGAGAAGCTTGTGATACTTTGGCTCTTTTGCGCAATGGTTGGCTAGACGCGCCAAAAGCGTCCTCATTTCTGCCAGCACCTTCTTTGGATTCGTAAATTCATCCGAAACTGAAAAATAAAA